TATTTGTGATTAAATTTATGCCACGACTTACAGAAACACCCTGTATAATCGTAAAACGACTGAGCAAGCGGATTCTGTGCTTGTGATGGCCACAATTTCCACCAAAAAATTTTCAATAGTTTGAGCCAGTCTATTCTGAAAACTCTTATATTTTTAAAGAGATGAAAACGAAAATCCCGTCTTTTTCAACATTGTTCATTTGTCGCTTAGTCAAGTGATACATAACGCGGTCCAATTGATTCATCATCATTGGCACCACAACCCCCAGTGGGTCTTGGCCTGTTCTCAGATCAGCTCCACTCTCTTCCATCTTGTGTCTTGGCCTTCCAGCTTCTAACTCCCAGCATTTTTAGACTTTTACCTGGTCCTTATATCTGCTTCTTTTGCGGTTTCCAAAAACTGTTTGGCAGAACATTTGCTTTGGAAGTTCCTTGTCATCCCTCCTTTCTAGATGGCCGAGCCACCTTAACTTATTGATTTTAATGGATTGTCCATTGGATGCATCACCCTGTTGAAAATCTTACTGGGAACTCTTAGCAAGTTTATTTTTCTCCAGTTGCTGCAGTCCTTTTTCGCTGTTTTGACAATGATGCCTTCAAGCCATTCTGCAGGAAATGTCTCGGTACCTGGCAATACCTGGTACTCTTCCGTTCTTCATATCTTCGACGACAAAGCTATGAGCGTCGAACTACAAAATATATAACAAATCGCTTTTAACAAGTCTGGAAAATTCGTGGAAGTAACGTAATACTGGTCATAATAGTGGCATTGGAGTTATTGGATTTCAATTGCAATTCGAGCAAAATTAAGCTTCTGGATGTAGGAGAAACCAGAAAGTCTGATGTAGCTTCTGGTAGATTACAACTAATTTTGAAGCATAAAACGTTAAAAGTAGTTATACAAGTTGAGTCAATATTGTGCCAACCTCAAATTTTATGTCAATAATCAAGATTCTATATTTAAACTTACTCTTCCACGCCAAGGTTAATACGTGCGCTTGTACAAATGTATTTTTGTAAAAAAATACAAAAATATTCGTTATCATTATTAATAAAAAAGTAATTTGTTGATTGCTGATGCATTCAATTGATTCCATTTTTATTGATTACCTCGATTTACACAACGAGATTAACAATAATTCATCAAATATGATTAATGTTCCTAAAAATAGAGATTTTTCTCTAAAGGTTTAACGATATCACCACCAATGATAACATCTCACTCGATCGAGTTGGGTTGGGGACAATTAAATGCGGCGAGATGTCGTTTTAAGTACGACGTAAATATTAAAAGGGCGATTTACCACCCGAAAGAATTACCGTATTTTCGGCACGTTTCAAGACCGAGACTACTGTTCAAAAATCTCGAGGCGTGCACCGCGTACAACGTTTCGATCAAATCATCGTCGGGGGCCGTTTATTTGAGCACCCTTCGTACTTGTAAGTAAGCTAAACAGCTTTTTTTGATAAATCAAAAAAAGCTCAAATGCAATACTAAAATTATTACTTCCACGCTTTATTAAACAATATCTTATAAGCAAAAGGGGTTAAGTAATACGATTTTTCTTGCTGCTTTACTAAATACGGAAGCTTATATGTAAATTATTATTTCAATGTGATAATAAAAGCACTTTTTATTTATAATCTATAACATTCAGTGTTTATTATTTATGAATGGTGTTCGTAAATTCTAGGGATGATTCAAAAGTAATGTGTTATTAATTATTAGAATAACAAAAAGTCAAAAGCAAGGTAGCAAATAGACAGGTGATAGGTGCTGGAAGGTATTGAAAAGCACTTTATAACATTGATAAACCTTGAAGAATGTGGAGAAAGAATGTGTTGGACGATGTTGTGAGCCATTAAAGTTTTATGTTTTTCATGACCATAAAAATAACTTATATAATATTATTAACCTAAATATTATTGCAATCAGAGGTGTTACAAGTACAAAGGAAAAGTACTCCCAGTAACCAGTACAAGTAGCGCTATAAATTATTTTTACTTTAAGTAATAAGTAACAAGTATTTTTAAAAAGTGCTTGGAGTAATAAGTAATTTTACTTGAAACAAAAGTAATTATAGCTATTGAATGTACAAATATATTGTATTTTTAAATAATTCTCCTGTACTGAGTAATCACACGCGGTAGAACAGTGTTATTGAAATTTCTACACATATTTCGATTTTTATAAGATTTTGCAAAATTTTTCAAATATATCTAGAGATTTTGCAGCAATTTCCTAAAATCTTCAAAGACATCCTGTAATTTCTGAGTGAATCGAAAGCTTTCTTACAGAAATTGTACGAATTTCCAAGAATATCCAAGAAAAAAGGATATTCATTAATAATATTTAGGATTTTAACGATTCTCAAAGATTCATATAAGCATTTCCAAGTATTCCCATAAGTTTTTCAAAGATACCATCCGAATTTCTCAGGATTTTTGAGGAATCCAACGAGTTTCCAGAAATTTCTATAGATATTCAAGTTTTCTAAAAGGTTTTATGAAAATGTCCAAATACGTCCAAGGATTTTGTAGCAGTTTTCTAAAATTTTCAAAGATAACCAAATATTTCTAGATATTTCAAGGAATATCCACAGATTTTTACGAATTTCTTAAGATTTTTGAATATATCCAAGGTTTTTGAATGATTTTTAGAAAAATTAGAAGGATTTCCAATAATTATTACGAATATCCAGGACTTTTACTTCTTCCTAGACACTTATGAATTTTTCAGTATTTCCAGCACATTTCCAAAAGATTTCAACGGATTTTCAAGTATACCATAAAAATTTCTCAGAATACCTGAGGTTACTTAGGATTTTGCAGAGATTTCTAAAGAATTTCAAGTTTTTAGAAGATTTTATAGGAATTTCCAAACATATCTAGGGATTTTGAAACGATTTCCAAAAATTTTTATATACAACTAGGTATTTCTAAAAATTTTAAGGAGTTTAGATACATTTTCAAAGATATCCATCGATTTTTNTAATTTCTTGAAGGATCCTTGTGGAAATATCACCAATTATTAATTAAAGTTCCCTCTTTTTAATGCAACAAGCCGTTTTGAAAAATCGCTTTTAGTTTTTGAGAAATAAATTTTTGAAATGATCGACAATTTTCTCCAATTTTGTAATTTTCGCCGATTAAGTTTTAAAAATTCGTATAAAATCCAGTTTTTGAAATATGAGTATGAAAATTTCCCAAAGTGTTAATAAGAGTGTCCTTTTTCCAATAAACCAACATGTTTTGAAAAATTACTTTTAGTTTTTGAGAAAACAATTATTGAAGTTTTGATAAAATTTTCGATGTTGCAATTTTCATCGATAACTTTCAAAATTCGCTATAAAATTCATTTCTTGAAGGATCCTTGTGGCAATATCACCAATTATTAATTAAAGTATCCTCTTTTTAGAGTTGCTTCGTTAGATAAATTAGCATAAAAAAAAATCACTTTGCATTGTGGATCCAAAGTTGACATATCTCATCAGCTTTCTTATTAATTTTATTTTTAGTTCAGAAATGCACCAGAAACTATAAGCATAATGGCTGGATAACCGGATATCCGGTCGAAGGGGATACCGATTATTCGGCTTTTCGCAAAATCACTATCCGTTTCATCACTAGTAAGCCATTGGGGGATTTTAAAGATTAGAGTTGCGATGGAACATTTTGGACGATATTGTGAGCCATTAAAGTTTTATGTTTTTCACAAACTCCTTATTCATGACCATAAAAATATCTTCTGGTATCATAGATAATCGGGATTAACTTATATATTACTACAATTTATTTTAGGCACACTACTTTTGAAACACCCATAAACAGTTTGATGTACAAGGTGTATCTGAATGACTGCAACAAACTTCAAGGGGTGATTCTTTAGTGAATTTTAAGGGTACTTTCATATACGAACCATGGGCGACTTCGACCCCCCTGGGGAGCTACACCCCTCCAAAAATGGCTGAAAATTTTGGTTTAATTTTTTTTTCTCAAAAACCCTAAACGATAGGTAAACGAAATTTGGGGAATATGTTTAACTTATAATAGGACACGTTTTGACCCTATTTGTACTTTCAACCTACCCTTCTAAACTACTAAACGTAACCACCCCCTTTGCATTTTTGCTAAAATTTTTTTTATGCAGGTGATAAATACATTAGAAAAATTTTACATAGATAGATGAAAGTATTCTAAAACTTTTTTGTCTCTGAAATTTTTCCAAAAACGGCTAATTTTTGAGAAAAAAAATAGTAAAGCAAACACTGCTTGTTAAACAATGGGGTTGTCGATCAAAAGTTGAAATGAATTTTGAATGAAAAAATCTTAGTAGGCTTTGCAATCTTTGTCAGAAATATTTTTGACGTTTAAATGTCAGTTTTTCTTACTATTATTATTGTTTTTCAAATTAATGTTTGAATAAAGTTCTATCGCATTTACACTCGTTCACTCGACGTTTCAAAATTTTAAATAAAACAATAATAAAGTAAGAAAACCACTGATATTTAAACGTCAAAAATATTTCTGATAAATATTGCAAAGCCTACTAAGATTTTTTCATTAAAAATTCATTCCAACTTTCGATTAACAACCCTACAGCTTAACAGTTAGTGTTTGCTTAATTATTTTTTTTCTCAGAAATTATTAATTTTTAGAAGAACATCAGAAAGACAAAAAAGTTTTAGAATAGTTTTATCTATCTAACTGAAACTTTTCCAATGTATTTATCGTCTTCATAAAAAAAATCTAGGCATAAATTGAACGGGGGTGGTTACGTTTAGTAGTTTAGAAGGGTAAATTGAAAGTACAAATAGGATACAAAAAAATTTTCCGCTATTTTTGGAAGGGTGTAGCTCCTTAGGGGAGCCGAAGTCGCCCATGGTTCATATATCAAAGTACCCTTAAAATTCACTAAAGAATCACCCCTTGAAGTTTGTTGCAGTCATTCGGATACACCTGTATATATTGTTTATATTTTAAGTATTATTATTGTTGTAGTTCCCGATGAATTAAAAGATATAAAAATAACCAACAATGCTAATATTTACAATTTGAGTTGGGGAAAACCAACGAATCAAGAATGTAATAAATACAAAATATCGATAAACGGAGTTGAAGAAAAAATAATTGAGACGAATTCGATTGAAATCGAGAATACTTCGAGATTGGAATGTACGAAGATTGAGATTTCAGCTGTGGATGTTGAAAATAACGTTGGAAATGCCGCAACAAGATTAAGTAGGCTAAAAGATAATATAAATAAATCGTTAATTTAAAATTTTTTTAATTAATAGTTCCAGGTGAAATATCAAATTTAGAAGCAACGCCCAAAATTTACGAAATTGAGTTAAGTTGGGATGCGCCAAGTGATGGAGAATGCGTTGATATGTACTATATTTATCTTAATGATGAAAAATACAAAGAAACCACTATAACAACAGAAGTGTTAACAGACGTAGAAGCTTGCACTACCCATAATATTCGAGTTACTACAGTTTCTAAAACAGACGGAGATATAGTTGAAAGTGAAGGAGTTTCCATTAAAGCTAAAACAGGAAAACCATCAAGTAATAAAATTAAATTAAAAAAAAATTGTTGTTTAATCTTTTTTGTTTCAGCTGCAAGTTCGGTAGAAAATCTTCGGTTAACATCAGAAGCAACAACTTTATCAGCAACTTGGGATCCACCAAAAAATACCGGAGCTTGCATTTATCGGTACACAATTCGATTGATGGGAAGCCAGTCAACTATAGATAAATACACAGAGAACACGTTTATAAACATCGAACCAGTAACTCCATGTGAAGATTACAGTTTTATGATATATCCCCAACTTTCTGAAGCAATAAATGGCCTTGATATAACTCAAACTACTTCTATAAAAGAATACGTTACTCCACTCCCTGATATTAAAAATTATGAAACTGAAAAGACCAATATTACTTTTAGCGTGAAATTGGTTGATTATACATCAAACAAGTGTAAAATATCATCGATTAACGCAACTTGCATATTTTCAGGGGATAATTATGAACCATGGATGGTTAAGGAAAGCTCATCATCAATAGAATATACAGATTCAACAACTCGACCTATTCAGGATATTGTCGTCGATGAGCTTTCACCTTACACTAATTATTCTTGTGATATTTTCGTCGTTAACTCAGCTGGGGCGTCAGAACCCGCCAATCTTGGTGTAGAAACCAACGAAGACGTTCCAAGTAAACCCGAAAATTTAAACACAAAATCCGACGAAAATAAAATTTACATAACTTGGGATAAACCATCAAAAATTCCCGGAATTTTACAAGATTATAAACTCGCTATTAAATACGAAGAAACGAAACACTTTATTCCAAACTACTGCGAAATAAATAAAGAAGATGTTGTAAGCCTCGTCAACGAAAATAATTATTTATTTGAATCATTCGTTCCTAACTCGATTTATTCGTTAACTATTCAAGCACAAACGGGAGCGGGTTTCGGAGAAGAAGCCTCAATCGACTTTGAAACCGAACCCAAAATATCAAACAAAGTAATAAATCTAGACAAAAACGTTACAATAAACAATGACGAGGTATACGATGTATCAATTAAAATTGTTTGGAAACTCCCTTGTACAAACGGAAATTTAATTAAATTTAACTATATCATTGAAGGCGTAAAATTGGAAAACGAAGAACCATTAAAATCGATCGTTGAAGAAATTCAACCAAACGAAAATATTAAAGACGAAAATTACTATTTTGAGATGTCAGCTGAACCTTGGGTGAAATATACCGTAACAGTTTACGCAGTAACGAAAGGAATTGAAATAAATAATGAATTAGATGGTGAATTTGACTCGATTGAAATTATTTCACCAGAAGGCCGACCTTCACCTCCTCAAAGCATCACCGTTACGGAAATAACATCAACAAATGCCCAAATTTCTTGGGAAGAACCCAATAACAAAAACGGAATAATCACAAATTATCAAATTAATATTGATTCTATCAGACCACTTCATGAAGTTAATGATTTTGATTGTGAAAGTAAATATAGTTTCTCTGATGAAGTCAATGAAACGTTTAACTATTATGATTATAATGATTTTAAGCCAAATTATGAATATAAAGTTGCTGTGAGAGCAAAAACCGAATCAGGATATGGCGAAGCTAACGAGACTATCCATATAACATCAACAGCACCTTCTGAATCAGTTAGATTAATTCTATATTATTTCATAATTAAAGAAAGTGAGGATTACGACGTTAACTTAGGTGTTGTTTTTAAAGAACCGTGTCATTTAAACGGAAAATTATCTTCTTATAAACTTACAATTCAAGGAACTCGATCTGGTTTTCCTGATGTGAGTGTTACAGATGAATTAACAGAATACACGGAAAAAGGTTTTATTTTACCTTTAAAACCTGAATATACATACGAAGGATTTATTGAGGTTTACACAGAAGAAAACTTTGTTAGTGAAAAAAATTATTTGGATGGTTTTACATCTTCAGCCGGAAGTAAAATAATTATTATTAAAAAAAAAAAATTAAAAATGATTAAAACAATATATTTTTAGTTCCAAAAGACGAATTTTCCCAAATTTCAGATCCCCATTCAATAGAATCCGAATCAATTAAGTTCGATTTGAACCAAGATACATTTTCTAACGAAATGGGTGAAATAATTTATTACGCCATTATTTTGGCCCCTGAAGATTACAATCCACTAACAAATTATGGAATTACAAATGGAAGTTGGCCCGATACGGGAAGTTGGAGCCAAGATGAAGAATTAAAGGAGTATCAAACAACTCCAAAAGAATGGAATCCTTTTAAAAGTGGCAAAATAAGAAGTTCAAATTCGGTTTATACCGTTTCAATAGGAACTGAAAATTGCGAGGATTCGCAAGAAGAATATTGTAATGGAAAATTAAGGCCTGATACTTCGTATTCGTTAAGAGTACGAGGATTTACAAGTTATGGGTATAGAGATACCCCAAAAATTACTTTTTATACACGTAAGTTATAATAGTATAAGTTAATAAAAAATTTGCGCATGTGAAGTTGATGAATAGATTTTAAACGATTATTAATCAAGTTCATAAAACGTCACATCAGAAAAGTGTAATAAGACTAATAAGTATAAAGGTAAAAAGTGTCACATCAATTTATAGGTGGTGTAATCCCATGATAGGAAGGAGAATTGGCATTCTGACGAAATGTTTACAAGTATCTTCAAAATCCGTAGAATCCTGAATCAGGATTGTAGATCCAGAAAGCCTTATTCCTCCTAAGTCAATCAGGTCCATTTTGGTGGCTCCATCCTGTTCTGCCATAACCTTGGAATAACCCTATGACCAGAGCTGGGCAGTAGTTAACTACTTTTTGTGTAAAAGTATTTGTATTCTAACTACTTTTGTTCTATTAGTAGTTATACTCGATTATTTTATGCTGGCATAAAATATTCGCAGAAAGTAGTAAAGAAAGTAGATAACTCCTCATTGTTAACTACTTTAGGTGTTCTAACTATTTTTCTTTATTTTAATTCCTTCTAAGTAATTTAACTACTTTTAAGACAGTTTAAGTACTTCCAAATATCTTCTACTTATGTACACACGCCGCGTTAGAACATATGGTTAGAACAAGTCTGTAGTTTTCATTCCGTAAAGTAGAAGTACCAAAAGAATTTGACTTTTAAGCATAATTTATGTATAACAGTTCAAACAGTTGTTAATTACTAACTAGAAACCTAGTTACCTTTAAAATAAGCTTTATACAGGGTGTTACAAAAATGTTGGGCTGGCTATACACAAACAGTTTCTACAACTAAAAATAAACAAAAAAGTTTATATAAACATATGTTCTAAAATAGTTCGTTACTGAGTTATAACGGGGAAATTTAAAGAAATTTACTTAAAGATTAATTTAATTTACTTTCAGACCAATTTTAAGAAAGCAGTCCGTGCTTTTCTTTTCAGTTTAGTACAAAATGGCAGATTATTCTTTCGAAGAGACTGTACGCAGACCATTTACCACATGAAAAAACGTTCGAATTACGCTTCATATTAGATTAAGGGAAACAGGATCCTTCAAACCAGTAGTCCGACATCGCGGCAGACCACTATCTACAAAAACTTTGGATTTGGAAGAACGTGTGTTGGATCGTGTTGAAGAAAATACAGGTGCTAGTACTCGAAGAATTGCATTGCAAAGAGTACAGGGATTTAGTGAGAATTACTTCTCACCACGAGAAGCATACTGTGTCTGCTCTTTAGTGATGAAGCTGGCTTTACAAGAGATGGTATCATCAATTTTCATAATTTACACCAGTGGCAAGAAGAAAACCCTCATGCTATTACTCAGTCTAGACATTAAGCGCAGTTTTCATTAAATGTGTGGGCAGGAATTATCAACGATTTCTTGATTTGTCCTTTTGTATTTCCCCGACGACTTTCTGGGCAGAATTATCGTTATTTTTTAGAAAACGACTTATCAGGTTTGCTGGAAGCTGTTCCACTAAATGTTAGAGAACGTATGTGGTTCATATGACGGTTCACTTCAGTCTCACAGCACGCGAATTTTTAAATGCCGTATATCCTGGAAGATGGATTGGTCGTGGTGGATCTGTAGCGTGGCCTGCACGATTTCCAGATTTAAATCTACATTTAAAATCTATGGTGTATTCTACTCCAATTCAAAACATTGAGGATCTTCAATGTAGAGTGGAAGATGGATGCCATCAAATTCAAAATACACCAGGAATTTTTGAGCGGCAATCCATGATACGACGAGCTCAGTAGTGTGTTACTGTCCGTGGAGGTCATTTTGAACATTTGTTATGATTTACATTAAAATCTCCCGTTTTCTATAACCTTTTTTAAATAAAAAAATGAAAAACTTCAAGTGGCTGTAACTCAGGATATACACTTTATTGCTTATTTTTAGTTGTAGAAACCGTCCATGTATAGCCAGCTCAACATTTTTGTAACACCCTGTATAATAAAAAGATGTTTATTTTGTTTTGCATTTATTTATTTATTATTGTAGACCTTTTTATGCATTTTTCCAGTTGTAGGTACGGCATTGGGTTTTTAGGCCTCAAAAGTGTATTTTATTAGGTAGTTAACCAAGTAGTTAAACTACTTTTTGGTGAAAGTAGTTATACTCCACTACTTTTTTCAAGTAGTTTGCCCTGCTCTGCCTATGACTTGGTTAACGAAGTCTCTTAGGTTAATATTTAATACACTTACATAGAAAATACACTTCCAGCTTACAATGTAACAACTTTAATTGAAAAAGTGGCGAAAATCAATTGTCAATAGGGTTATTGTCGCTTCCATTCTGGATTTATTCACGTTGGCATAGAGATCAGCATGTCCTATATGATTGCTTGGGAAATTGTTCCATTGGTCAATGAGGGCCAATTGAGCTTGTCCCAAATATGCTCAACATGATTAAGATCCAGGCTCAGAGTAGGCAAATCCACTTTTGGAACACCAAAATTCTTCAAAGTACCATGTTACGATCCTTGCCGTGTGTGGTCGTGCATTAACCTGCATTAACAGAAAACCATTGCTCACAAATCCAACATAAGGCATTATATGCTCTTCTATGATCTCTGGTCTCCATAAAGACAGATTCTGCACTTTGTTAGACGAAAGCAAGTCTACGTCTTTTGTGAGCTGCAGTAAGCAAAGGGCCTATACCGCAACTGCAAGCTGCCAAACCACTATTCGTTAATTTTCGTCTAATAGTACAATATGCTGACTAATGTTCCTTGAGCTTGCCTAAGGCTGCTTTGCTAGCTGTTTGCATTCGATATCTTAATGCATAAATCATGACAAAGTTTTCATCAAATTTTTTTTGCATGGTTTTCAGTTGAGTTAATTTTTTTCCAGAATAACTGTATCATCAGTGAATGTCCGAAATACAACATCTTTTGAAATTGATATATCTGAAGTATACAATAGATAATCATTGCCTTGGGACCATGATCGGTTTTAATATTGAGTAGTTAACAGCTTTCTGCCCAACTTGTAGACAAGTACCTAGTACTTACATCACCTTATCAAACGAGAATACTGTCCAGAAAACTGCAGGACAGTATTTTTGATCTATTGTAGAATGTCGATTATGAAATCCAAATTGGAAGACGTTTTAACAGTAATCTTTAGATAGCAGCGAGATAGGCCTATATAATCTAACTTGATTCGCCGGTTTGTCAGAATTTTCTGATCTGCTCTGTTTATTATTTTTAGTGAAATTGTTGGTGTGTTCTTTGCACACTCGAACAACTGACATTTAATTGTATTTCCACATCCCGTTGACTTACTCCATTTTCCAGCTATCTGCACAGCTCTTCGATATTTTTCATTCAATATTACCCTACAAAAGCCTGTGTAGCACAAAGATAAGTATCTTCATTTTGATCACTATCTTCATTTTCTTAGACACTAAAAGAACATTTTCTCAATGCACAAAATTAAAATCTATACTCTTAACTTTACCTGCATAAAGTATTTTTATAAATTTTTAATAAGTAATTAATATTTTGAAGCTTCTAAATTAAATTATGGCGCTTTAATTGGTGGAATTGTGGGAGCAGCTGCCGCTTTAATTATAATATTTATAATAATAATTGTTTGGAGACGAAGAAGAACGAAAAGTCAAGAAGAAGAAACTGCTTTGGACACTTTACCTTTAGTTCCACAACCAGTGCCAATCAATAAATTTTTGGATCATTACGATGATTATAAAAATAATTTAAATAAATTAAAAGCTGAGTATAGTTTACTTGAAAGATTAGGAATCAGCGAACAATTACCGATGACGTTTGCAATGACCGATGATAATAAACGTAAAAATAGATATATTAATATACTGCCATGTAAGTTAGAAACAAATTAATTAATTTATTTTCATTTTAATTAAAAAGTAATAATTTTTTAGATGACGAAACGAGAGTGAAATTAGATAGGGATAAAAATGATAATTATGCTGATTATATTAATGCCTCATTTATAAAAGTAAGCATCAAACCACTTTTTAATAACAATTAAATCAATTTTTTTTAAGGGTTATTCTGGAAATGTTGAATACATAGCAACACAAGGTCCATTAGAATCAACAATAGTTGATTTTTGGAGAATGGTTATACAAGAAAACGTAGCTGTTATAGTGATGGTTGCTCAATTTGTGGAACATGAGAAAGTAATCTTAATCTTTATTTCTACTAGAAACAAAAATTAATTTGAATCTTTTTTTTAAGGCAAAATGTCATCAATATTTCCCCAATAACCACGAGACGATGGCAATAGGTGATGGTATCGAAATCAAATGTGCGAATGAAGTTCCATTAGGTAGTTATATTAAAAGAACTTTAATGGTTCAAAGAGAATTAATGCAAATAACGATAACGCATTTGCAATACATACAATGGCCAGATTTTGGTTGTCCAAACGATGCGGATTCTATGTTAGATTTTTGCAATATTTTAAGACAATGTGTTGAACAGTATAAAAGTAAAACAATTATTCATTGCAGGTAAAAAATAATTTTAAATCTTAAAATTTAATTAGTAATTTTTATTATTATAGTGCTGGAGTTGGTAGAACAGGTACTCTAATAGCTTTAGATATTTTACTTCAAACGATAGAAAATGCGGGTGATATAGACATATTTAAGACTGTTTTAAATTTACGTAAACAAAGAGTTCGTATGGTTCAAACAGAGGTAAAAATTTGTATTTCTTAATATTATTTTTGATTTAATTGCTTATTTCTTACAGAAACAATACATGTATATTCATAATTGCTTAGCGGAATATATTACAAATCCAAAGAAAGGAGAAAGTAATCTTTTTAATTATTGATAATCCTAAATTTATTTTGTTTTGTTTTAGCAAAAGAAACTGAACCAATCTACGAAAATATAACCAAAAAAAATGATGATGAAATATCGATTAAAGTTATTAAGGATATAGATTAAAGTAATAGCTTATTTTTTAGCAATTGCATAATTCAGAGACTTAATTTGTAATATTAAAGTGTACATTTAATTTAAATATACTAAAAATATAGTATTTATTTTTGTTAGGTACATTCCAAAGAATAAATATAGTTTGTTAAAAATGTAGTGTTTATTCGTGTTATTTAAAAATTAATACTGATATCATAAAACTGAGATAAATTACATTTAAAGCAGTCTTTTGGATATGTTTTTTTATAGTTTATGGCACAGCCTAAACAACAATATGTACAGGGCCTGTCACGACGAGCTGCATAGGGGGTTTATCCAAGTAGCTCGTTTTAGCTAAAATATGTTCAGTTTTCTGCCACTTCCGGTTATACCAGAAATGGACCCCAACTTTGTTACTTTAAATCGAATGTAAGTACCAATCATCATATGTCTAGAGTGCACCATTTTGGAGTTATGTCAGTTTTTTCGAAAATTTTGGCAGAATCTTGATGCAAGATTAGATATAAAAACAATGTTTTTGTTATTTAAGTCCAAATATCCAAACCTAAACGTGAAATATCAATTTTATACCTATTTTATAGTTTGGTAGACCTCAAATTGATACTTGTATTACATGTGAAGAGCTAAGTGTCAAAATAAAAAGTCTACAATTAGGCGACCATCCTAAAAGGGCCGCTGAAGCTGAATTAACTATACACGGAAGGAGAATCAAGAAGTTCCACAACAAGATATTAGAAATACGAAAATTATGTGAAACTCGAGATGACGTTGCAGAACTTACTTTTGATTTTATGCAAAACTTCCGCTACCACATCCTAATCCAAGAAATATTTTATTTGCGGCAACTTTGAGTTAACTATTTTGGGTGTAAAAAACTTGAAAACGAATAAGACTGTATTTTATGTATTTCATGAAGGTGTAGCAAACAAGGGAAGTAATGAAATCTGTTCAATATTGCTGCACTATATCGTAAATTTTTTGGAAGGAAATATACAGGAATTATTTTTCTCCAATAATATAATATTCGCCCCGGACAGAACAAAAACCATACCAAAACGATTAAATTATCGGAAATTGTGTTCCCGTTGGGTGCCAAAAATGCTCACGGATGTTCATAAAACGAAGCAACAATGTCCTTCATCATTGTTGCTGAATGAGTAGCTGCTCGTAGCTGAATTTTCCTTCATCATTGCTGCTTGATGAATTCTTAACTTGGGTGTGTCATGTCACTCCAAAATCCAAACAAAAGTCGATAAAGGGGAAAAAGCAACAATTTAAGACAACTTTGTCATCACTGGCGGCATCTTTCCATGAAGAGGGTATAGAAAAGTTGGTTTTCCACTACGACAAATGTCTGAACAATGGTGGCAACTAATTAGAAAAATAGTTTAAGACATTTTCATGTAAAAATTAATTTTGTGTTGAAAAAATGTTTTTATGAGTTTTTTTTTTTAAATGGATCGTATTTTCCGAACACGCCTGGTAGTACATTCACTTCTCTCCTGTTGTTATAAGTTTTATTCAATTACAAAATGTTAACCACAAAGCCCCTCAAACCAAAGGCAAATGATAATTTAAAATTTTCAAATAACCAGGATATTTCGTTCTTCTTTTTAAATTCTGCAAAAACCATACTTTTTAGATATAGAGATACAATGACAAAGTCCCCTTATTTTTCAGCGTACAATAGGCTGGCGAAAGAAAAAAAGGGGTTGCCATTTAAAAAAATTAACTTTTTGACGTTTCCAAATAGGGAAATTCGGTGCAAATTTCTGACCATCCTGTATAACTTTTAAAACAAATAAAGTTAAAGATTATGTCAACTATGGGTCCTCTCTCTGCAAGCCCTGAGAATATTTGGCCTGACTAGAATGTAATTTCGAAAAATTGTGTTTATTGTGAAGGGTTGCATCTGCCAAAATTTTCGAAAAAACTGAAATAATAAAAAATGGTGTACTCTAGACATATGATATAGAGATGCAATGACAACGTCCCCTTATTTTTCAGCGTGCAATAGGCTGGTGAAAGAAAAAAGTGGGGTTGCTATTTAAAAAAATTAACTTTTCGACATTTCGAGATAGGGAAATTCGGTGCAAATTTATGACCACCTGTATATCTTTTAAAACAAATTTTTAAAAATTGTCAGCTATGGGTCTTCTCTGTGCAAGCACTAAACATATTGGGCCGGACTAAAATGTAATTTCAAAAAATTATGTTTATTATGAAGGGTTGTATCTGCCAAAATTTTCGAAAAAACTGAAATAACTAAAAAATGGTGTACTCTAGACATACGCTATAGAGATGCAATGACAAAGTCCCCTTATTTTTCAGCGTACAATAGGCTGGTGAAAGAAAAAAATGGGGTTGCCATTTAAAAAAATTAACTTTTTGACGTTTCGAAATAGGGAAGTTCGGTGCAAATTTCTGACCATCCTGTATAACTTTTAAAACAAATATTTAAAGATTATGTCGGCTATGGGTCCTCTCTGTGCAAGCTTTGAGCATATTTGGCCGGACTCAAATGTAATTTCGAAAAATTATGTTTATTCTGAAGGGTTGGATCTACCAAAATTTTCGAAAAAACTGAAATAACTAAAAAATGGTGTACTCTAGACATATGATATAGAGATGCAATGACAAAGTCCCCTTATTTTTCAGCGTACAATAGACTGGTGAAAGAAAAAAGTGGGGTTGCCATTTAAAAAAATTAACTTTTTGACGTTTCGAAATAGGGAAATTCGGTGCAAATTTCTGACCACCTGTATAACTTTTAAAACAAATATTTAAAGATTATGTCGGCTATGGGTCCTCTCTGTGCAAGCTTTGAGCATATTTGGCCGGACTCAAATGTAATTTCGAAAAATTATGTTTATTATGAAGGGTTGTATCTGCCAAAATTTTCGAAAAAAACAGCAATAACTAAAAAATGGTATACTTTAGACATATGATATAGAGATGCAATGACAAAGTCCCCTTATTTTTCAGCGTACAATAGGCTTGTGAAAGAAAAAAGTGGGGTTGCTATTTAAAAAAATTAACTTTTTGACGTTTCGAAATAGGGAAATTCGGTGCAAATTTCTGACCACCTGTATAACTTTTAAAACAATTTTTTTTAAATTATGTCAGCTATGGGTCCTCTCTGTGCAAGCACTAAACATATTGGGCCTTACTCGAATGTAATTTCGAAAAATTATGTATATTGTGAAGGGTTGCATCTGCCAAAATTTTCGAAAAAACTGAAATAACTAAAAAATGGTGTACTCTAGCATTATGATATAGAGATGCAATGACAAAGTCCCCTTATTTTTCAGCGAACAATAGGGTGGTGAAAAAAAAATGAGGTTGCTATTTAAAAAAATTAGCTTTTTGACGTTTTGAGATAGGGAAATTCGGTGCAAATTTCTGACCACCTGTATAACTTTAAAAACAAATTTTCAAAGATTATGTTAGCTATGGGTCCTCTCTGTGCAAGTTTTCGAATTTTCGAAAAAACTGAAATAACTCAAAAATGGTGACTCTAGACATATGATAGTTCTATAATTTCAAAATTTAGTGATGATCTCAAAAATTCGTGCCAGTAGTTTGTCATATACATATAGACTCAGCTCTTCCTGACAGACCCTATACAAGATTACACAGTTAATCATTAATCCCTGAAAACTAATACATCTTACTGGCAACTTATTATTTAGAATGGATCTGATGATACAATATTAGAATAAGCGAATTATATACTTTAATTGTTATGAGGTGGAGGTGGATTTATCCAATCACATTTACCCGGTACATGATTTAAGTTACTCATAACATTACCAGTATGAGAAATAATTTCATTTCTATGATTAACCATTAATGGAACATTATGTTGATGATTTTGAATTGAAACATGATTTACATTATTTTCAGACTGTCTAAAATATAAAGGAAATCGATTTTCCAAATTTTCATTATGAACAAAATCATTTTGCGAAGAATTCATAACATTATTAACCCTATTTTGAATCACTTGCATTTGGGGCTTATCTCTATTAATTTTATTCTCACTTTGATTCAAATTAATTTTTCGTTGATCACTTTTCACCTTTTTTAACTCATTATTTTTAGCACCCACGCTTTCTTTTTCAACCAAAATCGATTTATTTCCGTTTTTTTCGTAACAAAACCCCATATCAAATAATAATCTCCTTAAAGTCATCAACGAAAATTTTGGTAAACTTTCGTTTTCGTTGATTCGTTTACGAATCGTATTCAAAGAAGGAACAACACCGCGATATTTTAAATCGTAAATAATCTCTTTTATAGATTGTCGAACGGAATTATCGTACTTAATATCTCTGCTATTTATATTAATATTTTTACGAATCTTCGTTTTAGATGGTTCTTTAAAACCTTCGACGCTCGCCTCTTCTTTTCGAAATTGAAAAACACTTTTTTCACTACACCCAGTTGCTTTTGCAGTCCTTCGAACGACTTCCGTAACGCATATTTCTGGGTATTCTTGTTTGAAGTATTTGAAGACGTTTAAAATTATCGTTTTCTCTTTACACGAGTATGACATGCCTTGCTTCATTTTCTTTATACCCTTTTCTTTATTTTGAGAGTGTTGTGCCATTTTTACTAATCATTTAAGATACAAATAAGATAACCTCAAAATTTTTAAGAAAAGAATTTGAGATAATATGAAAGAAAATTTACCTTTTATTTAGTTTGATGCACTTATTTTAATCACTTTTTACGATAGGATTTAAAATATAATCACATTTTCACTTATTAAAACGATAATAAAGATTAAAACGGTTTAAAACACCAAAATTGGACATTTTTAGGTTATGTGTGGTCATTTATGGTTATGTTTATATTTGAATTAGCGCGGGAAATTTAAAATTGGATTAATTAATTTAATAAAGTTTTTCTTAAAAATATTTCTTAAATCGTATTGTACCTATATATTTATAAATAATTATTTTTATTTTGAATTTGTATTAAAATTTTTTAGGTTATTTATACTTAGTGAAGTTAGGTACTAAATAAATTTGAATAATCTTTGATTTTATCTTATAAAATTAATTATCCAAAAATATATTAATTAAATTCAATTAAAATTACACATTAAAATCATATTATAAGTAAAAAATCACTTCTTAAGTACTTCTTTCTTGGGTTCATAGGATAACATATAAGATGTTTGATAATATGTCATATTTGGAGAACCTTTTGAAGCAGTTTTAGGGGAACCACAACAAGCATCAACATTTCTACGTTGCGTACATTTTCCCGATTCATCCCTTTTACGTTTATCATTAAAACAGGGAATTATTTCAACTGGCGAATTCTGTGCTGCTACACTAAATTTGGAAGGACCAATGTTTTTATTACAATCAAAATCATTTTGAAACGCTTCAGGTACAGGTATATATGGTGACGTTCCTGTTTTAACATCTTTTGTAGCTACTTCTGACGAATGCAAATAATATCTAGCCACAGACAAATTGTCGTAAATTTTTTTTAATTGTTTTGAATAATAGTCAATAGGTTCATCTTCAACATCCTTTACTTTCTCATTACACTCCGTTTCCTTTTCTTTAGAAGGTAAATCAGACTCAATGGCAATCTTAGAAATCTCGTTGGTGTTATCAGCTCCAACTTTCTTAGAATCAACAGATATAATCTTAGAAAAACCTTCATCAGGTGATACGTTTGAAGCAATAACATTCAAAGAAACCCGTTTGCTGCTGGTTTTCCCATAATCTTGTTTTAATGATGACGGAAATTGTTGATACTTATCCACTAATTGATTTAATTCTTGTTCAGAGAATTGACTTTTTGAATTATTACTACAAGATCTCGATGAAGAGTTTTGGGACACTTGGGACTTTTTAGAAAGCGTTTGAAGTCTGGAGACTTGTAAAACATTTTCTGGATGAATTGGTGTATAATCACAACATTGTCTAAGTGAATAGAAAGGATGGGATTAACAAGAAATACGATGGAAGGTTTTAGAAGGAGAATAAAACTATAAAGAAGGATAACGTTTCGAATCCTCTGCTTTAGCCCTATAAAATCTTTCATTTGCAACTTCTCGCCTTAATTGTTTATTTTGATTGCTGTAATCTAAAGCTTTTTCTTGATATAAATCAAGCTGTTCTGTTGTTGAAATACTGTAAAGTTTTCTAATTATTTCAAGATTTTTAAATCTTAAAATAAAGCATCCCAAAATGTATATCACAATTATTAAAAAAATAAAGTCGTAACACACATTTTGGAATGAAAAAAGTTATTTTAAATTTCTTACAGTTTCGATTGAAGATCTTGAATGTTAACTTTCAATTTTTGTACATCAGCTCTTAATTCTTCGTTTAAAAGCTTCATCTCAACCGATTCCTGCCGAATTTGCACGAGATGTTTTTCTAAATTTTCCACAGTATTCCTCTCCTTATCAAGTTCTGATTGTAAAGTTTGCGAATTTCTTCTTAAATTATTACATTCTCTATTAATCTGGAAATCAAAAAGACAATTAAAAATCTCCACAAATTTAATAAAAACTCACCTCAGTTCTTACAGAATCCTTATCATTTAATTGTTTCATTAAATTATCTTTTTGTTTATCCAATTTCAAACACAAATCCCTCACGGAAATTAACTCAGCTTCAATCCTCTCTTTATCAATATTTCCATGCTCAACTTGACTCTCCAATCTTGCAATTTGAGCGGTTAAATTCGAAATTTGTTTTTCATAATCGTGAATCATCGTACATTGTACTTCAACTTTTCTTTCTAAATCGGCAGCATGATCTAAAGCGACCGATAATTGAACTTTAGCCTGAGTCGCCTCGCTCTCTAAAGTATGATTAGTTGATTCTAAATTCGTCGCTTCCTCGCTTAAACTTTTATAATGATCCAACATTTCGCTACGTTCGACTTCCTTTTGCGAAATCAAATCTTCAGCTCGTTTTATTTCCGCCACATAATGTTGAAGTTGTCGCCTTAAATCGTCCACCTGCCTCTTTGCGATGTCCAAGTCGTTTTGAACCCGTTTATTGTCACGAGTGCATGATGTTAAATCATCCTGAAGACGTCGATTTTCTTCTAACGCCAACTCACGCGCCCGTTTTGATGATTCAAGTTCTCGCTGGAGATTTTGTACGTCTGAAGTGACGGATTTTAGTTGGTATTCTTTTGTGGAACGGTCTGTTAAATTATCGCTATAAACAAAAAGAAAATTTTTTGATTTTGGTGGTTTGAAAAGATTCTTTCTCTATTGGTCAACGTGAGTCACGTTAAAAGCACAAGGTGAGATGGCGCAATGAACCGCTTAAAAAAAATATAGAAACGATGTCGTTAAGATTGTAGCAATAACAAAGAAATGTTTAGATTTTTAATCAAATTTTTTTGGTAAAATAAAGTTGCGTAATTTAATCTTGTGTAAGATTTTTTTTCAATTATTTCTAATCGGAGAAAGTAACTACCGTGTTTTTTAACCTTTAACTCAATAATTTCATTAATTTACACAACATTTTACATTTTATTAAAATCTTATATAGTGTTTTTACGGATTTCCTTATTAAAATAATAAAAAATGTAATAGAAAAATTTTCTTTTGCAATTCAATTCAACGTATTTCGATGTACAAAGAAATGGAAAGTTATAAATATGGAAAGTTTTAACAGAAAGACTCCATCAATAGTAAATCTACTTTATTCCGTGCAGAATAAATATGCCAAGAGTATTAGAACCACACTATAGCAGAGGAAAATATTGAAGACGTACCTTGTAGTCAAACCCAATATAAAAGAATCCGAGGAATCAGAAATTCAAACTAGAATAACGACCACACAAAGAACTTACACTCAAAAAGTAGAGTCTATAAAACCATCATAAAACCTATATTGTGCTATGGATGCGAGACATGAATTATGACATACAGCGCAAAGAATTTTTGGTCCAATAAAGGAGAATGAGATATGAAAAGGCCTCGTTGTACATATAGATGGTTTTTGAATGAGGCTAATCTCTACTATCTATGTGGCACGAATGCCAAAAAAAGCTCTTGAGCAACAGAATGCAAGGCAAGGCAAATGAAGCCACAAAAACGATGGGAGGATGAATTGATAGAGGACGCACAACGACACATGAGACTCAGAATCTGGAAGAAAGTAGCTCATGATCGGCAGTGTTGGAGGCAGATAATAAAGGAGACTAAGGCTCAATTTGGGTTGTAGCGCCATTGGAGGGAGAGATTGATGTTACCTGACCTGTGGAATGATAAACAATCATTCTTGTATCAACAGATAAATCATTTGATGCGATCATTGCCCTGCAAGAGTCTATATTTGTTCAATAGACTATAATACACAGAATTTGAGATTTTTGTCCCAAGCTAATACTTCAAATTTGTTTTGAAATATATTTTAATCAATAATAGTTTTTATTATTGTTGATGAAACAAAGATGTTTTTCTGGTATATTATTGCCTGTGTAACAACTACAATATTTTTTATCATGATAAACGACACTTCGTCATTCTTGGTTCTGTTTATCCTGTGATACTAAGGTCCATCTGTGTTTTCATAGCTTTGAAGGAGTTCCTATCAATCTTTTTGTGACTGTTTTGCCATCTCTTGTACATTTTGACAGGCACGACTATACAGTGTTCGCCAAAAAGTCTGCGACACCCGGTTTATTTCTGTTCCATTGCATCAACGATCCTGAAATTAAGCTTCTATAGGAGGCTCATACCGATCTTTCGATCTAAAGTATTTTCAAGATGGTGGCCACTTCCGGTCCCCCGGAAGTAGACCTCAACTTCGTTATTTTAAATGAAATGCCATAGTTTTGATTGCATGTTTTAATTGTATGCGAAAAAATATATTGACTTTGATAAATGTTACTGGTACTTAGCATTTTTCGTTTTCGAGTTATTTTGATATTAAGTTTTTGTTTGGTAAATTTAACCATGCTTTTAAAACTCCATATCTCAGCCAATATTTATTCAAGAAAGCTCTAACTTGGTACGATTACTCTTCAGATGATATCAAATAGATTGTCATTTGCTGTATCAGAGTATCTTATACAGGATGGTCAAAAATTCTCCATATTCAATGGCCAGAAAGCTGAAAATTTTAAAAAGAACGCCCCATATTTTTTTAACCTACCAGAGAGAGAATTAAATTTTTTATCCAAACCTAATTTTTGTTTTCATTGTTTCATTTATTTGATCTGCTGTTTGTTATTTTTGGTAAATAAAAGATAGTAAACTAACAGATTATCAACCAAAGTTAATTGTAAAAATAAATTAAACGAAAAACTTTCAAAGTATCATGGCCTAATAAAAATATAACCGGTTAGCTAATAAAATTATAATTGGTGAGCTAATAAAACATGGGGCATGCCATTTAAAATTTTCGACTTTCTTGCCATTGAATGCGGAAAAAAGTTAATTCACTTTTTGACCAGCCTGTATAAAATACTGTGATATAGCAAATGGCAATCTATTTGACAGCATTTGAAGAGTAATCGTGCCAATTTAGAGCATTTTTGAATGATCGTTTGCTGAGATATGGAGTTTTAAAGAGCATCGTGAAAATTACTAAGAAAAATTTAAAATCAAAATAACTCGAAAACGAAAAACGCTAGGTACCTGACTTTTTGACGGACACTCTATATTGATAGATGTTCATTCCATTCTTGTCGTCTCTGCCGAAACCGTCTGACGATGTCCGCGGTGTTCCATTTTTTTCTGATGTCAGTGTTTCTCTTACGATCTATTAGAGTATATCCAGAGTATGTTGCATTTTTCTTAAGTTTGTTATATATTAGTTTAACAGAGATGGAAGGCTTGGAGAAGATTCCTTGACGCTTCGTCATTCCTGGTTCTGCTTCTCCTATGATACTGAGGTTCAGACGTCTTTTCATAGCTTTGAAGGTGTTCTTGTCAATCTTTTTGTGTATGTTCTGCCATCTCTTGTACATTTTGGCTGACACGACTATATATTGCTAGATGTTCATTCCATTCTCATCGTCTCTGCCGGAACAATCTGACGATATCCGGGGTATTCCATTTTTCTGATTTCAGTGTTTCTATTACGATCCATTGCAGTATATCCAGAGTATGTTGCATTTTTCTTAGGTTTGTTATGTATTAGTTTAACAGAGATGGAAAGCTTGCAGAAGATTAAGGTTCAGCTGTCTTTCCATCGCTTTAACGGTGTTCCTGCCAATCTTTTTGTGTATGTTTTCCCATCTCTTGTATATTTTGACAGGCACGACTAATCCATTCTTGATAGACGTTCATTCTATTCTCGCCGTCTCTGCCGGAACCATCTGACGATGTCCGGGATGTTACATTTTTCTATGATTTCTGTGTTTCTCTTACGATCCATTAGAGATGGAAGGCTTGAAGAAAATTTGAAACATTTATTTCGTCTGCATCTGATTCACTTTCTGTAAATTCTAATCTTCATTAAAAGCTTCAGCAAAAGACTTTAAATTAAAAGACTGATAGATGCATAATCAGCTTGTAGTTGTTGCACCTATCAAAACTAGTAGTATTAAAAACATTATCTCTGACATATAGGCTGTACTTATTGTAAATTTCTACAATTCATTACAATTAGAATCAGAGGACGTTTTTATCTATTTATAGCATAAAAATATGTTATAAAAATTTTTAAATTTTAGTAAATTTTTATTTAGTAAGACAATAGACAAGGGGAGAAAAATTTAGAGAAAAGGTCGCGTGCTTTCCCCCTATTTTCTATTCAAACATGAATAGAACAATTTATTATATTTAGGGCTTAGCCCAGTTTGTTCGATACTTTAACGGTAAAGCAATTTTCCTAATTTTTCGGTCCACTGATATTTACCGGTCTGATCGTGAGCTTTTCTAGCGATACAGTTTATAATTACGAGTAACCACGTACTCGTTTTAGTTGCACAATGGATAAATCTTTCGTTCAACTCTTGCAGAACGCTCTTTCTTTTAAATCTTATTTCATTTCTTTAATTAGCAACAATTCAACGAATTATTGTTACATGTGAATCGGAAACTAGTTTCTTTTTTTTGGGCGAGAGAAACTTGACACACTTTTTATTATGTAAGAGGTGTTTTTATCGATAAAATATTATTTATCAATTACTAAATCAATAAATGAATTTAAAAAAAAAACACCCTGAGGATGATATTATTTAATAAGTACAAAATCGGGTCAATAATACGCGTTTCGTTTTCATTTCACTTTCATTCGCATCCAGGAGAGTTTAATATTATCGGGTATTGAGTGACCTCCCGAAAAAACAGTGAAAGTGGCCGGTGAACTTTGTCGGGCGGCCGATTTGACATTGAAAATCCCCACCTTGGGGGGCTTGTTAAACGGCGATTCAACAACGATCGCGGGGCACGTTGTGACTTAAAAACTACAAACGCCGGCACCGTTCCGTTAAATGCACGTATTCAATTTCAGAGACCGCGCGTTTTCAGGCTCTTCAGATTGAGCTTGAATCACATTAAAAAAATTTTTTTGCAATGAAGCTTAGTGATGTGTTGGGTGGTTTTTTGAATTAAAATAAATAAAGTGATTATTAAAATCTAATTAATTTCTTAATCGATTAAGTTAGTTGGGATGGTTTGGAAAATTTTAATTGGATTTGAGGTATGTTATTAGAATTTTAATAATGTGTAAAAAAACTTCTATGACTTCAACTATGACTACTTAAGCTTAGTTTTAGAACAAGGTAGTTAATCTTCAATGCTGAAGGATTTAAAATACTTACCCATAAATAGAAACATCTATGAGTTATATGAAGGACGTTAAATTAATTTGTTTCTTTACAATTTTATGTATTTACAACCGTGAGGGAATATTTATCATGCTCTTGACAAAAAAAGCACTTATTAATTAATATAAAATTCATTGCATAACGTATAAATGCAGAGACACATTAATATTCTTGAGTATGCGGAAAGGCACTTGTGTGGTACATAAATTAAACAAATTATATAACCGATTAGTAGGATTTTACGTCGTCCGTTTTACTCTCCGTTAATAATAAACGATTAAAACATTTCCCGTAAACAACGAACCGGGGGCATGAATAAAGAATAAAGTCGTCCTTGTGCCTCAAATATGTCATTATTTATGCATTTCACACTTCACTGTCGCTTGTACGTCCGTTTTTATATAAAAAAGGCTGCGTACTTGGAGAAAATTGAAATGGCATAGAAAGGTTTTTATAGAAATATTGAATGGGCGGGTTAAAATTTCAAGGGCTTCATAACGGCATTAATAACGGATTTAAAATGTATTAATGAATTGATAAAAAGGTTTTAGAAATAAAATTAATGAAATAATTTTGAGATAAACTTGATTATATAATTATAAAGAGAAACCTAAACTTATATAAGCAATGTAACCTTCTTTAACACCAGGAAACGGATAGAAAGATCTCATTATATTTATCTATTCTTTTTTTGAATTAACTTAAAGCTTAAAACATTTCTTCAATATAAAATTTTAGTCATATTTAGTGCCCAACACGTGCGTACTAAAAAAAATGTCCACCTACGCACGTGGACACGTACTCTCGTTATCATACGAATAACAATGACGTATGTAGTTTTTTTTTGGTTTGCTTTCTCCGAAAGGTCATTTCAACATTAAGGTTCTTTATGATGCACCGAAACGCTCCGTGGGTTTCCGTCCCAATTTCGAACCCTACATTCAATAAGAACCGTGTTAATATGTACGACAATCACCGATTTGTAAATAAATCGCGTTGCTTAAAAGGTTACGTAAAGTTGATTTACCAATTACTCAATCGATATGATTTTAATTAAATCTGAAATAAATTGAACTTTCAGTTTTAAATTAGGGTTGGGTTTTTTTAATAAAAATCTTAATTGTTGTGTAAAAATTGTATATTAATCTTCTTTTAGTTCCTTTTATATTTAATTTTATGGGTTGAAACTGCTGTTGTACCACCACCATGGGCAGATCCAACGATTAACCCTTGCGCAGCGTTACCTCGAGGTTGGCAACTGCTCTATTGGCCACCCGATGGCAAGTGCTATAAAATTTTCCAGGTGAGTCAATTCTGACTACTTTTACTTTAACATTTATAACAGCAGACGGCAAACGCGTGGGTTGAGGTTAAACAACACCATTGAAGGAAGAGACATTCGTTTCCTTTGTCGTAAAGAATAAGCAAATCATAAATTTAAAATTCAATGAGGCTTAACAACAAAGATGAGAACTGTGCAAAAGAAAAACAAAGTGCACGGAAGCAAAACAATTTTAATTAGTTAAATAAACAATTTTATTTATTTTATTTAGATGGGTTATCCTTGTCCATCTGACATGGAATTAAGTCCAACGCCGAACGTGGCTGGAAAACGAGAATTTGCCGCAGAATGTCGATGCCCTCCGAAAACGGCTCAATCAGACGAGGATGGAAGTTGTTACGAGCTTTTCACAGCAGGAAATTGTCAACGAGGATATTATTTCGCTCCGGACACAAAGGCGAGAAATGACGGCAACGTGTAAGTAAATGAGGGTAATGTTACATCAACACTTCACCTCGGATCACAACTATAATTTCGTTTTTAATTGGATCGAGATCGAAATGTAGGTGCGGGTTTCACAATTACAATGCTCTGCGCTATAAAGTCTCATTAGAAATAAGATTGCAATACTAATACGTCTTAAAAAGAATTTTTAAAAGCATTATAAAAAATCAACGAGGAAAAGTTCACTAATTAAACCGGAAGAACAAAACCACAAACCAACACGTTAAGTGATAACTTAATTTAGCTTTCTTCTAGATACTTCGAACAAAGATAATAAGTTTTCTCTTCAAACACATCGTTTGAATGTGTTACATAACAAAATAGAATAGAAATTGTTTAGATGCATCATTATTACATCACCAAATCAATAATTAATTTTTCTATAAACAAAATCAAGGTCGAAGAGGCGATTTGGTATTTGCCGAGAAATCCCCAAATGCCAAAATGAAAACGAGATTTACTGGCCGCAAAACGGGATATGTTACGAAAAATTAACGAGAGGACCATGCCCCAAAGCTCAACTTTTAACAATCGACGCAAAAGGAGTTTCGACATGCCGATGCGGAAAAGACGACGATACTTCGGAGTTTAAATACAAAGACTCGGGATGCTATCAACATTTCACCAGGGGGCCGTGTAAAGAAAAGGGTCATATCTTTTTACCTGAAGGAACGTGCGGTTGTTACGACGATTTACCGCATTATCATGATGTTACGCAACAATGTTTCGAAATCGGTAAGTTACTATCAAAATTAAATCGAAATCAAGACGTTCTAAAATATGTTTAATTCCTTGCGTTTTACACCGGTCGAGGTTACTCGAGAAACAATCGTTAGAGATAAATGTCAGTTGAGCGTGTATCTTTCAAGTTCTCTTCGTGGCATCTGCACCTGTGAACTTCGATTTTTTTTTAATACATCATCACGATGCGAGCGCGGTTTTAATCTCGAGGTAACGCTACTGAATACGGTAGTAAATCTTTCGCGAAGATCTTCCAAGAGAAAGTTGTTACAACATCACCGGTTTGATTTAGATTGGAAGTAATTTGTAGAAAAGAAAACCATATAATTTAAGGTTAAAAGTAATTGATGTTTAAGAATCAATTACAAACTTAATGTGTTTAGATAATGTTTAAAAATACACTTAATTATGTTTTGTTGTAGTTAATTAAAAACATTTTTCAGGCTCCATAGGTCCTTGTTCAAAAGGCGAACAATACCAATTAGATTCAACAAAACAAAAAGCAACATGCCTCTGCAAAAAAGAATACGTTCGTTACACCCAAAATTCAAGATGTTATCGTCCTTACACTCAAGGACCATGTCCATCGGGACAAATGTTAATAAATTCAACAACGTGCGAAATTCAACCTTGCAAAAAAGGCGAACTTTACTTCCCCGAAGATAAACGTTGTTATCGCATAGGAAGACGCGGTCCGTGCCGTTTAGGGGAAGTTTTAACGTTTGATTTTGAAACGCGACCATCGTTAGATGGAAATTCTTATAACGGAGTGTGTCAGTGCGCGAGAACGAATACTTGCGATGAAAATGCAATTGAAAAGGACAAATTGGAGTGTGAAAATCATCAAGCGCGGTTTGAAAACGTTTGTTACAAATTGTACACGCAAGGACCGTGCGTTAAAGGAGCGTGGTTAGCGCCGAAAAGACGCCCTCGTGACGGTTTATGGGGGGATGAAGATGAAGAGAATGAAGAAAATACGGGGTTTTGTGAATGTATGCCGGGGTATACCAGCACAATTCGTATGGTTAGAAATAAAATTGTTGTTGACTGTTTATCACCGACTGTGATTTTAGCTGATTATTTAAATAAGAATTTTTTATCGTTGAATGATACCGACAATGATGAAGATAGTGCAATAAATTAATTTAAAAAAATTATTAATAGTGTTTAAAAAAATTTGAAGTAATATGTAAATAAAACATTTTGTACACTCACCTTATGCGATTTTTTAAATCTGATATCGTCGCTTCTAAGTTTTCGATCTTTTTGCTTTTGCAGCTTAATTCATGTTCAATGGCAACGAGCTTTTCGGTTTTTTCATCCAAAGTGTGCTAAAAAATAATTTCTATTTACAATGAGACTACTACATTGAAGAAAATAAAATCAAGAAAAGCCCAAAAACTTTATAATAAATGCTACAAGTTATGGAAGAATTTATTAGACATCATGATGTCCCATGATTTATACAGTGGGTTTAATTTTAGTTATCACAACAGATATCTAGACTATTGTTAGAGATATGATAAATTACTGTAGAAGGAAGGTTTCTCCACACTTACTGTTTAATTATCTGCAATATTTAAAAAACAATTGAAAGAAGAAATCGGGAATATTTTGCAAAGAACGAATATCATATTGAACAAACACTTTAGATATTATAATAAGAAATTTTAATTTAGTCTACGTATTGTAAATAGATTGTTTACAGCAGCGAATATGTTTATAACTACCAAGATAAAATATATTAATTACGGGTTTAGGTCTATACAAGAAGATAACATTGATTTATCACAATATGTTGTGTGTGGAACTGTATTAGCAAACGCATCTTTAAAATCTAATAAACTTTTAAGACATTTAGAAACTAATTATGTTGAATACAAGGATACACCACCAGAATTTTGTAAAAGAAAACTTACAGACTTGAAGGGGAATAAATCAAGTTTAACTAAATATGTTGGAACCGATAAGATATATTTAAAATGTTCTTATTGAATAGCATTGTTAATTGTAAGACCAAAAAAGCGTGTAATATAGGAAAAGTACTAATGGAGAAAAATATGCTGTGCAAATTAACAATATTCCAATGTCTGCTGAAACAATAAGCAGACGAGTACTTAGTATTTCAAATGACCTGAAATTACAACTAATTGAAAAATTGGAACATTCATCATATTATGGCTTGCAGTTAGATGAATCCATAGATGTTGCAAGTAATGCTATACTGATTTTGAGTTGGAGAACACGAAAGAGGAGTTATTATGCACCTTAAAACTACAATCCTACACACAATCCTACCTTTTCTGTAGTTTTTGCAACCATAAATTCATACTTTGAGTCTAAACACATTCCTTGGAATAAATGTAGGTTATCTCAGAAACTATAAGAGTATCTCAAAAATCACCAAGTATGTTTAAAATTTTACAATGGCTGCATATTCTAATTATATTTTTAACTTAAAAACAAAAGAAGATAGAGGTTTGGTGTTTGAGGGATTGGATTAGTCTCGAAAAAAGAGACAGGGACATGGCACCTACTTTTTTCATATCTTATAGTTTCTGAGATAGCCTATAATAACACCCAAATTTGTCCACCCTGTACAGATGGAGCAGCGGCGATTGTAGGAAAAAACAGTTATACAAATTGGGTAAATATTGCATACAAATATAACAAAAACTGCATTCTTCATCGTGAACAGTTGGTATCCCAAAAAATATAAACAAAGAATTCTAATTCTTTGTTTTAGATCATTATGTGAAAATTGTAAATTATATTCGTAGTAGCGCAGTTCGGACTCGAGTTTTCGCTTTATTCTGTGAAGAAATAGGTTCAGACCACAAAGGCTTTAAAAAGATTTTTTGACTTAAAAACTGAAATAGAAATACGCTTAAATGACCAAAAATCACCACTAGCAGTACATTTCAAAAACAACATAGGGCTTGTAAAGCTTGCTTACCTAGCTGATATTTTTTCGTTAGTTAATGAATTAACATTATCAACGCAAGGGCGCGTGACTAACCTATTTATGTGCAACAACAAAGTTGAAGCTTTTACAAAAAAATTGATATTTAGAGAGGTCGAATAGATAGGGGAGAATTTGATATGTTGCCATGTTATCTTCAAATAATTGAAGATGAGGAGCTGCATAAAGAAGATGATGTCGATATGAATACCAACTCAAAAATCATTTGCTAAAATTAAAAGAAAGATTTCTTTGCTATTTTCCTCCTGATAATGACATCCGCATAGGCAACAAGTGGATACAGAACCGTTTTGGAGCTATAGTGTGATAAATTACTTCACGCGCAATTCATTAGTCAAAAAATATTATTTGAAAAGGCAACCGAATGTTTACTACCATTCGCAAAAACATATTTAGCGGAGAATGGCTTTTCATCACTCGCTTCTATTAAGAATAAGTACAAAAACAGTCTTGAATCAATCTAGGATAGATAAACTGGTGAACGAGATGCAGCAGCATAAAAGTCACTGATATTAGAAGAAATGCTTATCTCAAAATTAATATTGTTATTATTTGTATTGTGTAACCAAAATGCATTATTATTATAGTGAATAATACAGTTAGGATTACAAATATATACACGGTGGTTCAGTTTTTAATCGGAAAACTTTACTAGGACGTAGTACTTTCCAAAATAACACTAGTTTTTTATATAAATGTAGGGTCGCAACTCGTTTGTTTGCGAGCTATGAGCTGTCAAAGTTGAGCTAAAAATTTACATTTTGTTTTGTATTTCGGCTGTAAGTAAACCTGTTTACTACTGGTTAAGACCTTCTTTTCAAACATACCTTAAACTTCCCTAGCGCCCTCTAAGGGTATGAAATTCACCACCCCCTTGATTTCTTTTATAAGTACTTCTTAACGTTATGGCATATTAACATAAAAAATATGGGTTGTAAAGCTCATTCTTTAGTGGTACTGTTTTGTCTCTTTAGTATTTTCCTTAAAGTTAATAGTTTCTGTGTAAAAAAATAAAATATCGTGCCATGTACCGCCATGGGCTGCCATTTTTTTGCTGAAATTATTCTAAAAGTTGGCTCTGAGAACTTGTAAGTTTCATTTACGGTGAATCCTCATAATTATTGATGATTATTAATAATTTTTGACTATCAAGAGTATCAATTTTTTAATATTGTTTAAAACAACGTAATTTGTTCAGGCAAACATTCATCGTATTTATGGTTTTTCTTATGAAAATTAAAATTAATTGGTGTTATTTATTTAGTACTAGATCTTACTGATCCTAGTAAGTGCACAACTTCCATAGCCAGCTATAAAGAAATTTTTTTTTTAATTTACAGTACAATCTATAAGTATCTTTAAGGAAAAAAAACTAAAGAGACAGAAAAGTATCAATGATAAATGTACCTGTATTTATTTGAGAAAATCTATGCCGAAACTGTGTTTAATTTTCTATAACAGTAATTATCCCCTCTTTTAACTTATTATGGGTCACATTAAGATTTTGTTAATATTTTTGGGTCGCTACTTAAAAAAGTTTGCGGAACGCTGGTTTATAGTTCTATAACATTATAAAATTGGGCACTTTCCAAATTTTTTTGTGCTGTATCTGCCACATTTGATACTAAATTGTTTTTTTGAAAATGGCAGATAATAGGATATTAAGTGTGTAACAACTTTCTTTCTATAACATTTTGTCGTATCTCCAACAATAATCAAGATATCTGCTGTGACAGATAAAATCAAACATACTGTATAAGCTTTTCTTAAATCTTTTAAGATATTTCCAACTACCTAAACTCACCAATAACGAATCTTTTTCCCTATCACACATCAACAAATTATTCTTCATCACCAACAATTCATTTTTTAAATTAATCACATCTTTTTTCCCATTTTCTTTTTCCGCCTCTAAAAGTTTAATCGTTTCTTGAGCTTGACCGATAGATTTATCAGCTTGTAAAAGTTGATTTTGACAATCACATAAAGCTCTGTCAGATTGTTCGTGTAACATCCTATAATAAATATAAATTTAAAATAAAATGAATATTTAAACAAAAAATTTCTTTTACTTTAATTGTGAATATGAAACTTTTTGTTGGGTCAACTCAGCTTGACAATTTTTCAATTGTGTCGCAAGCATATCACATTCGTCCTGTAAATTATTAATTGCGGCCCTTTTGGAGCCTTGAGAATGAATAATTTCGCGGTGATCAAGTTCCATGCGGCGCATTTCGTTGTCGCGCTCCCTTAACATATTTTCTAAACGTGCTTTTTCTTGATTATAATCTTCACAAAGAACGCTTATTCGATGTCTGAGACCATCCCGTTCTTCTTCTAAATGTTGAATATCCGCTCTGAGAAGATCACGTTCGCGTTCTAGACGTTTTGTGGACGACTAAAATTATTATAATTAAATTTTGTTAGAAAAAAAAATATTTTACAACAAAAAAAATTACTCTATATGATAAAGCATCATAATCTTGTTCTGGTTGACTTCTAGCTGAATCTAAACGGATTAAAAGCGATTGTTTTTCTTGTAAAATATTACAAAGTTCTTGTTGGAGTTTAGAAAGTTCTTGTTCTTTATCGAAAAGTTTTTTTTGAAGATCCGTTTGTTCTGTTCGGTTACACATTACTTTGACTTTTTCCATTAAAGCGTCACATTCTTTTTTGTAAAAATCTCTTTCTTCTTTAAATTGTTCTAAAGAAGTATTAGCCTATAAAAAAATATAAAAATTTATTTTATTACAAATAAATTACTTAATAAAATACTTTTGTATTTAATTCATTAATTTCTTTTCCTATAACTTCTTTTAAATGATCAAAACAAACGTTTTTTTCTTGTATTTCTTTAACAATTAATTCTTCGATATGTTTAATACACAATTCAGGGTGAGGAAATGGACACAAAGTCTTTATTGGTGAAGTAGCTGCATCTTCCACAATTTTTTTATAACCACATGATGAATTTTCTGTAACTACATGATCTCCAGATTGCATTCGATATTTTTTGGTTATAGGTGGTTTTTCTTTGGGTTTATAAGGAGCTGATTTTTTCGATTTTACTCCATTAGGAGGTTCTTCTTTTTTAGATTTTGATACAAAACAAGATTTTGGTAAAATTTTGCATTCTAATTCGGCTATTTTACGCCGCTGTTCAGCGTTTAATTGAACCAAACGATCGATTTCTAAATTTAAATCATTTTCTGAAATGAATTAAGTTAAATATTGGATTATATTATTGTTATAAATTTACCAATAATCCCATACTGAGCCATCCTACTTGAAGCAGTATTTTTTTCCGCCAAACTCGACTCCAATATTCCCTGTAAATGTTTTTTTTCACCTTTAACAATCTCTAATTCGCTTATTAATTCATGTTTTTCTCGTTTACATTCCATAATCTCTCTCTCTAATTTTTGTACTTGTAGTACGGCTTCATGTAATCGATTTTGTAATCGATTTACAGTTTCTGTATTTGATTTTACGGTTGTGTTACATTCATGTTCTACCGCTAAAGCCATTTGGTCAATATCTTTCAATTCTTTTTCTAAGATCTTATTTTTTTCCGCTAAATTTAACGCTCGTTTCATAGCTTCGTGTTGTTTTGTGATGGCATCTTTTAAACGAGTCTCTAAATCAAAATTAAGTCGTTTTAAATTTGCAACTTCGTCCTGTAACTTGGCTATTTTAACTTCTATGTCTTTGTAACAACAATCTTGGTTTAACGCTTCTAAAGGTCGACCACCATGAAGCATTTGTGTTAATCTTTTTATCTCTTTATCACGGCTATTTACCTATTAGGTAGAAATTAAATTAATTTAAATAATAAAAATTAAAGCGTTTGATTTACCTGGTTTTTATAAGCTATATTAGCTTGGGCTAACTCTAATTTGTCATTTTTTAACCGATTTATTTCTTTAGTTAAATTTGATATTTTGTTTTCAGCCATGCACATAGCAGAACTTGTTTCTCTAGGAGTTATTTTAGGTTTTAATGAGGCAGCTGTTGAAGTTTTAAATGGTTTAGTGGCAGTGCTCTTTATTTGCCTGTTGCTTTTTAAAGAATTTTCCTCCAAAACCTTTACTTGACTCTTCAACTCTTCATTTTCTTTGTTACAATCAGTTTTAACACGTTCCAATTCGCATACTCGATTTTTTAATTCTTGCTGGTTTTTTTCACTTCTTTCTTTATATTGTAAAAATGCTAAATGCAAATCATTACATTCTTTAACTAATTTTGCATTATCACATTTATAGGGCTCAGCACCTAAGAGTAAAGTGTCTCTCTCCTAAAAAATAACATTGACACCTTTTATGACAGCTTTTATAAATTTGATATGAGGTTACTTTTAAGATAGATGAGTACTTACAGTGAGTATATCTTGAGATAATTTCATGTACTTTTGTAAACTTTCTGTGGTTTTCAGCAAATCTCCAACTAATTTCTCCACTAAGGGAAGAGAATCTAATTGAAATTGTTGTGTATAACCCAACTCTTCTAATTGGGATCGCACTGTTAAATACCTTTGCTCCATCGTTTAAAAATTAAGATTAGAAACAATTACAATAAATTAAACATATCAAAATATATCTTAAAATCATCTAAAAATCCTTATTATTGGTATATAAACCATTTCGTTAAAAAAGTGAGGTTAATTTTATTTGTTGTGATTGTATTCAAAATTCGTTGGATGTCGATAATGTAGGAATTTGTATAATAATATTTTTTATTCAAAAGCAATAAATTATTTATTCATTGAGAAATAAATTGTTATTAAAACAAACCAAACCTTTAATTTATTTTTCATAGTATTTAAAATAACAACTTACAAAATCATTTAGAAAGAATCATTTAAGCATTGGTAAAGTAGGGATTATTAATTTAAGCTTCTTAATTTAAAGATAAACATATTTATTGTAAAATAACCCACAATTCGATTATTTTTAATCGAATTATTCTTCACAATTCTTCAAAGTCACATTTACAAAATAACATGTACGAATCAAAACTTAACCAACTCTATCTTTCTATCCTTTTCTATTTTCTGTCATAACCACATATTTAATAAGTCTAAAACGTCATATCAGTCACTCAACAATTTCTGATAAAAAGGCCACCTTGAACTGTGAAAGGGCAGTTGTATTATAAGTTATCGTATCGAGAACACTTGTTGTAACGTTGAACTACTTCAAAAATCAAAATGGTAAGTTTTACTTTTGGGGCTAATCTAATTATAACCCACTTAACCTAATTAATCATGCTTTTAAAGATACTTTTTTTATAAAAAAAATCTTGTATTTCCAGGCTGAACCAATTAAAGTTGTTGTAACTGGTGCTGCTGGGCAAATCGCTTACTCATTGTTATTCATGATAGGCAAAGGAGATGTTTTCGGAACTGATCAACCCCTTATCCTTCATTTATTGGATATTCCCCCAATGATGGGCGTCCTTGAAGCTGTTCATATGGAATTACGCGATAGCGCATTACCCCTTTTAAGAGATGTCATCATTACTGCTGACCCCAATGTTGCTTTTAAAGATGTTTCCGCCGCTTTTCTTGTAGGTGCTATGCCCCGTAAACAAGGAATGGAAAGGAAGGATTTATTAAGGTGAAGCATTTAATTAAACAATTTTTATATGGAAAAATTCTCAATTAAATAATTAAACTTCGTCAATGACATTTAGAGGTTAAAACCGGTTAAAACTTTTCAATCTGTCAATTTGACATTTGACACATTTTTATTATTTTGAGGTTAAGTTAATCAAAAAAAATTAATAATTTCAGATCGAACGTCTCAATTTTTAAAACGCAAGGTCAAGCAATCGATCAATACGCGAAAAAAGATATAAAAGTCCTCGTTGTTGGTAATCCAGCAAATACAAACGCTTTAATTTGTGCCAAATACGCTCCATCGATCCCAAAAGAAAATTTTACGGCGATGACGCGTTTAGATCAAAATAGAGCTCAAGCTCAAGTTGCTGCAAAATTGGGTGTAGCCGTTAACGAAGTTTACAATGTCGCCGTTTGGGGCAACCATTCTTCCACGCAATACCCTGATATTTCTTTTGCTAAAATCAAACAAGATGGAGAAGAGAAAGATGTTCTTGGTTTAATTCAAGACGACGAATGGGTTCGTAAAGAATTTTTGCCTACCGTCCAAAATCGTGGTGCTGCAATTATTGCTGCTAGAAAATTATCTTCAGCGATGTCTGCTGCTAAAGCTGCTGCTGATCACATGAAAGATTGGTGGTCTGGTACTCCAGAAGGCAAATTTGTAAATATGGGCGTTATAAGTGATGGGAGTTATGGGGCTCCGAATAATGTGATTTTTTCATTCCCATTAACAATTAAAGATAAAAAATGGAGTATTGTTCAAGGATTGGTCTTTGATGCATTCGGAAAAGATAAGTTTGACCTTACATCTAAGGAATTGGTAGAAGAAAGAGATGAAGCTATGTCAATTATAGAGGATGCTGACGCATGACTAGGCAACAAGCTTTGAATTTTCAAAACTTTAAAAAAGAATCTTTGTAGAGACCCTTTTGCTTATTGAGCACATTGAAATTGTCTCGTCCTTTTTTAAAGATTTGATTATTTAAAGGCCTTGGACGTTTTCTTTATTTCTACACGCATATATTATGTAATTCTTTTCCCCTTGCATTTATTTTTAACAGTTATACACGCCCCTGATTATTTCATTTATTTTTATTAAAATATTACTCATATTCATTTAATTCAGTTAAAATTATTCGTATTTTTTTTTTGATTGTTGAAGATAGAGATGGAATTGTATTTGCTCAAAGAGATGTATACATTAAGAAAAAGTGATTATTCTCCCCAAAATATTTTTATTATGGATAAAAACGTAAAATATCTAGTTTAGGCAATAAATGATGAAAAGATTGTTAGTTTTGTTTTAATAGGGATTTATTTATATTTGGGATATAGTTTGTTGTAATCTATTTGTTAAAAATTGAGGATATTTTTGTGTTATAAATTTTTGTTTAGATTTACTAGTAATGAATAAAGTAATGTTTTAATTAAAATATCTCTTTTTATTTATTATATTATGCAAAATATGTGATGAACCTTAGTATTGCCCGAAGGTCTTGTTCTTTTATAAATTTTGTGTCTTAGGCAGTCTCTAACTCAGTAGATTTTAGGGGTTTTGTTTCTTTTCAGCGCACAAAGGCGAATTTTGAGGAATAAGATTGAAAATGAAATTATTGCCATTTAACTTTCAGGTGCCTTGAAACACTTTTATAATTATTGTAACAATTGCCGCCAAAATATTTTAGTTGTCAATGACGTCGGGAAAAATTGTGGTTTTTAATTAATTTTTTCTTTAACACTTTTTTTATACAGGGTGTGTCAAATGTCTGGGATATAGCCAACAACTTCGCCATTTATGGTTTTAAAGAAAAATGTTTCAAATACAAGTTTCTTTATTAATTATGGCGCATTTTTTGGCGATATTTGCTTGTTTGTATTGTTTTTTGTTTCGTTGCTATGGCAACCAACATTCTTATTTTGAATAGGATGCATATGTTTTTTTCGCATACTTTAATAGAGGATAAATCCCTCTATGCGATGAACATATCAAATCATATGGTTTTATAAGAAAAAAACCGAGTAAAAATGCGTTTTCTGAAGATATCTACAAATTAAAATCAAAGTAGGCGCCGAAATAACGCCGTTGACAGCTTTAAATGTCAAAAAAATGACAGTTTCAACAATTATGAATAACAAATAATGTATGGGTACACACATTTAATGCAGTTTCATCATCTTCGGCCGTTCACTTTTGGAAGATTTTTAACACTTCCGGTATTAAAGAATTTTTTTTAATACTTTGGATGCCGTGGATTGGGTAAATATTATCGAACAGTGTACAAACTTCACTTTGAGTGCGTTTTCTATCACCGTACCGATACATCATTAATATTTGGATTATTTGTTCGCTTAATTGCACTATATTTGTGTAAACTGTCATATTTTTGACATGCAAGAGATCATGCATAATGCAAGAGAAAACGAAATTATTAAAGAAAATCGAAAATAAAGTATTAACTTTAATCATCTGTATTGGATTAAATCGTAACAATTTAATGTAAGGAAGTCACTGTTCCTCTGTGTCCCATTAGTAATAGATCACTCTGTATATAAAAATATAGGTAGATACAATTAAATAAAATCGCAGTATAGCATAAAATACTTCATCCTTGTTAATTGTATAGATATTCTTTAATTTCCACCAATTTTGAAGTAAAAAATTGACAAAAATATCTTTTTGGCCAAGATTTTTAACTAATTCGCTTCTGTGCAGCGTAAGAGGCTTCCCAACTATTAATTACCTGCTTTAAGTGGCTTTTTTGTACTCAATAATCGGGTTAGGGTCCAATGTAGGGCGTTCTCGCTGCCTCTTTGGCCAGCTTGTTTGCCCTTTCTTTGCCCTCAATGTCTTTGTGAGCTGGAACCCACCATAGATTAACATCATTACCACTAGCAAGTTATCTTGCGTTACTGGTACACTCTCAGATCACTGCGGGCCACACTGTCACACTGCCCGTGAAAATGTTTATCGATGCAACTTTCTGTCCCTTTTGTAGGTTCAGAACGGAGCAGAAGTTGAAAAATGGTTATGTCCGAACTAAGGGGCAATTTAATGCGGCTATATGGACCACTAATGCGCATACCTACTCTGGATCCAACTACCTTTGAAGCATCGGTTTACCAAGCAAGGGCTTCTCTTTTAAGTTGAGGTTCGTCCAATTATTATATTCTGTCGGTAAACTCGTCCGTTTTAATTTCAATCAAATGGTTTAGACATGGGTCGTTGACGATTCTCTGAGGTTATCCTGCATCAACTTGAGTGAAAAGCATGTTTTCAGTGATAAGGCACTTAAAGCTGCCTCCTTTTGTATGTATAAATGAAGTGGTGTGAGACTGAGTAGTGCTTCAAGAGCAGCCGTTGGACAAAATCTCATTGCATCCCTTATATTAAACGCTGGATTTGTGCCAGTTGTTGTTGTGCTGTCTTGTGTTTTGTTTTTGGCCACCAAACCAGTGAGGCATACGCGACCATGGGTCTGATTTAGTGAGCCATTCGTGGTTTTAGACCCCAGTTCCTTCCAAGGAGCCTGTGGTACATCTGGTTCACCTTGACTAAGTGCGAGTTCAAGTTTACTGTAGTATCTAGTATTACCCCCAGGTATTTGACTTCGGTTTTGAGGTTGAAAGTTTTCTGCCATCACTTGAGGGTGCTCTCAATTGTAGCATCCTTCTCCGTGTGAAAAGGATTATTTCGACTTTGTTTGGATTAATGCTGAGCCCATTGCTTCTGTACGAAGTGCTAGTAAGTAGTAGGGCTTTCTGCATTAATTGGGTTATGATAGTGTCAGTGATTCAGAGTTATGTCATCAGCAATCCATTTTTTGTTAAGGTGTTCATCAAGTCAGCAACTACCAGGCATCATAGGAGAGACATCAACGACACCATTTGGTTGTCGAGGGATGTATATCTTTTACGTTCAGAGTTTTCTCCATGGATTCGTAGGAGGGTGGTGTTATCAAAAGCACCCTCTATGTCTATGAAAGCACATAGGGCTATCTCTGTGCTTGTACTTGTCTCCTCTAAAATGCTTGTTAAAGCATGGAGAGCAATAATTGTTGATTTTGCATTCTGATAAACATGTTGACTTGGATGAAGTGGATTAGTGACCACCTCTCCATTCCTAAGGTATTGATCGATTACCTTTTTCATGCCTTTGAGGAGAAATGAAGTTTTAGGTATAAAACCACTTTTACTTTCCTCCATAATGTAGGTGGCTATATATAGGGATATTATTACTTGGAGTAGGTCCTTTTTGCTAAAAATAGGCGGAATTCCATTCCTTCCAAGTGATTTTAGAGGCTTAAAATTAGAAATAGCCACTACATATTAGAAATATGTAATGTAATTATGTAAATTGCATGACCGGAAAACTTAACATGTAGAAAATTTAATTATACGCTGTTGAAATTGCGGAAAATTGTTAGATATTAAGTTTCATTCAAGATTTACAAACCCAATAAGTAAACACACAATTTTATTTCTAATTATTTTTAAATTATCACGTTTTTTAATTTTAATTGTCAAATTTGACAATTAAAAGTCAAATTTTTTTGAGGTTATATTAATTTTTATTTTAAAATGAAATAATACTTTTAAACTTTGTTTTCCAACTAAAAATCGTTTTACTTGTAATCTAATTCTGTAATCTCGATGAAAGTTCAACAACACTTATTCATTTGGTTAAAGTCAAAGTGTGTGATAAGAAAATAAACTACTGAAGCAAATACAAACGATTAACTTTTTAAAAATTATTAAATAATATATTTATCTTTGATGATATTTATCTTAAATAATATTTTATTGTTTAAATAGGGAAAATAAAAAGATTTATAAGATAAAAATTTTTTTGGCGGGTAAATTTGAAATTTGACTTGAGGCGGATGAAAAGGTAAGTATCCGGTTTGTGCCGAACCAAAAAACGCCAAAGGTCAAAGATTTATTTGGGTGAGTGTCAAATTATTTTTTAAAGTTCGAACGGGATAAAGATACCACGTGCATTTCGAACGAAAATCGTAACCGGAGGTTCTAGTTAAATTTCGGCAAAATCAACAACATGCTCGCAAACAACTACTGGTAGATTTAACCTAAAAAAATTTTATTTCATTTCTCCACCGGAAATCTATATTTATCCTAAGCGCCGGGTTTATTTTCAAATAATTATCTCTCATACGTTATCAATTTAATTTATTTCATATAACTTTATTTTAATTTAAAGTTAACTTTCTAAAACATAACCTCAAAATATGACACAAGTAATAGAAGACAAGTTTGTCTGTTATAGCCTTGATAACTTTTTCCATAAAGTGACGGACATGGAATCTCCCAGGAAGAATAACGATTGTTATTTTTATTATTACTCAACCTGCACAAAAGTAAGTTTTTAAAAACATATGGAAGTAAAAATTAAGGTATTAAATCGTTTCTTTTTAAAGGGGGATAATTGTACATTTAGGCACGAACCGTCTGCTTTGGGATGCGAAACGACATGTCAATTTTGGAAGGAAGGGAAATGTATAAATGTTCGATGCAATTTTCGTCACATGGAATTAAGAGTAAGATATCAATTTTTAAAAGTAAAACTTCCCCAAACGTAGTCATAATGTAATTTTTAAAAATACAAAAGTCATTTTTGATTCGTTTTGTCTTAGAAAAATCGCAAAGCGATACCTTGTTACTGGGAGACCCAACCTGGAGGTTGTTTAAAACCTCATTGTCCCTTCCTCCATCAAAAACGCTCCCCGAACATGATGAATCAAGGAGAAGGAAGCGTTTTAAAAGGTGTTCAAGATTTAAACATGCAAGGTAAAACATTTTCCGTTTCTAACCGTAGTTTTAAGCGATATTTTTTGATTTTTTTGATTAATTAGCTATTCAATCGGATAGCTGCGCGAAGAACTTAAACCATGGCCCAGAGAAAAATTATGGAAACGCCGTGGACAAACCGCTGGTCGTCAATTTCGAAGAAGGTATGCGCCTTTGTAACTAAACAAAAATATTCTTACAAAACAAAAAAAAAAAATAATTAATCGACACAAACCCAAAAAATAAGCTGACGGATCAAACGATTGAAAAGAAAAACATAAACGATTTTTTGATTGCGACTTACGACTTGCGATTATCCCTTAAGTGCTTTTGAAAGAGTTTTCTTTTTCTTTTAAAATATGGTTATTATTATTTTTAAATAATTTCTTTTTGGATTTTGGTCTGGACGTTGATGGTGATGGTTTTTGAATCATTTATGAAGGGAAATCACCCCTAAATTTAATATATTTTTGTCTTATTTTTTTGAGATGGAATGTGAAGAAAAGGATTTGATATTTTTGTTGAATTTTGAGTTAAAAATACTTATGGTTATTTGATTATTATTGATTTATTACTTTGATTAATTGATTTATTATTTGATTAATTGATTTATTAATTATTATTATTATCGATGATATTATGGTTATTATGAATTATATAATTATTTAGCTTGATGCAACGGAAAGTTGTTTTAAAAGGAATATACGAAGTGATAGTTTTTTTTTATTAACTAATTTAATTACCAGTTTGTATTTTTTTTTTTGTATTATACTTAAACGGAGGACTACTTATTATTGTTTGTTTTTGATTGTTTATTTTTATTGGTCATATAAAAAAGTAGTCGTGTACTTATTTGTTGATGGAAAAAGGAAGAAATTTTTATTTTTTTTCCAATTTTCGGGTGAAATTTATAAAACCGCCCGAAAAAGAAAAACCTTGTTTGTTTTTTTTTTATTTCATTCTATACATAAACTTGTTTGTAGATAAAGAAACGAAAAAAAAAGAGTTTATTGTAAGGAGTTGAAAATATTTATGTAAAGGAGTATATTTAATATATGAATATACAGGTGTTCCAGGATAGTTACATAATTACCAGCTTATTTTGTAAAAATTATTTCAAATTATTATTTTGATAATGCGTGGATTGAGTATACATTAATAATAATAAATTAGCTGGGTAAAAATTATAGTTGTGGAGCAGCCTGTATAAAAGGACATATTATGTATGTAATTGTGAAAAAGGGGATTATAATTATTATTATTAATAAAAATATATTTCAAGTAAAATTTAAAAAAGTGGGACAGGTTTGAAAAGAAAATCTTTTTTGGTTACATTTTAACTTTAAGTTAAAATGCATTGTATAACTAAAATGTAACCAAAGAAAAGCAACAAAATAAAATAAGATTATGTGATCAAAAATGATTGACAAAAATTATTTTGGTAAATTGATAAAGTTTAGCACCAAAAATTAGTTGTGATTAAATCATTTTTGATAGCATTAACAGAGTGATTTAGTTAAGTTATTTAATTGCTTATGATTTAAAATCAAGAAAGAAAATCACACGTTTTTTATAAAAAAATAAGTTGTTATTGGTACATTCTTAATCTAAAATTGTTATATATTATTAAATATTTAAAATTGTCTACAACTTAACTGGGACAAATAACTCATCTTCCTCCAAAAATATTAAAATACAAACGATTGATGATATCTTGGGTTTAAACCAAATAATTTTCCAATCATTATTGTTTTTTGAGGCATTAATAGCACAATAATTGTCTCTATAAACAAAAATTTTGATTTAAATGCACGAAATTCATGAAATTAGTTGAAACTAATATTGCATTGGTACTGTTTATGCGACTTAGAGAACGTTTTTGCATCAATGTTATAAAACCAGCAGCAATGTTGTTGAAAATAAGGAAATTCCATCAAATGTAGGTCTTTATCATGAAGAGATTTCCACAATCATTATAGTTTTTTGAGGCATTAGGAGTACAATTGTCTCTATAAACAAAAATTTTGATTTTAATGCAACTAATTTATTACTGGGCACGAAATTAATTGAAACTAATATTGCATTGGTACTGTTTATGCGACTTAGAGAACGTTTTTGCATCAATGTTACAAAACCAGCAGCAATGTTGTGTTGAAAATAAGGAAATTCCATCAAATGTAGGTCTTTATCATGAAGAGATATTCTGATATATATGATCTATATTCTGATATGAGATATTCAGAAACCCTAACATAGTCAGCTAGTTTGCTCACATTTGGTACCGTTTATCTTCTAAAAATTATCTAAATTATTATGATGTGGTCAATATAAAACCTGCTTATTTTATCACATTAGGCAAAGCAGGAAAATTTAATTGAGAGACTTTAGATTTGTCTTTAATTACATTATTCGATGGAAGTTTGCAATTTTGAATTCGATTAACTTGCACTGTATTTAGAGTGTATTTGCCAAAAAATTACTGAAAAAACATCTTTGCCATATCTGAAACCCTAAAATAATCAGCTAGTTTGCTTACATTTGGTACCGTTTATCTTCTAAATATTTCAGTTGATTTCTGCTGATTTTATCACCATAGGCAAAGTAGGAAAATTTAATTGAGAGACTTTAGATGTGTCTTTAATTACTTTATTCGATGGAACTTTGCAATTTTTAATTTGATTAACTCACACTGTATTTAGAGTGTATTTGCCAAAAAATTACTGAAAAAGCATAATGTAGTGCATAAAGTTAATCGTGATTCAGTTTTCTTAATCGGTGTAAAAGAAGTAACTCCTCAAATTGAGATGTCGCTAAAATGTGCATGTCACTTTAATTGCAATAGCACCACTACTTATCCTCACATCGTCCAATTCGTCTAAATTGAACTTGGTGTTATTTTTGCTGTAAAATCTTTCCCCTATAACCATTTACATTATTTCTTTGGTAAAGAATATCACAAAAAATATCAAAACTAAAACATGTAAGAAAAACTAAATAATTTGTTCTGACAATAAACTTACAACGTTTCTTCTTTTAATTTGGAACAAAACCATGGCAAGTATATTAGCACGATGTTTCTGTGCAAATTTTTGTATGATTTTGCTTCATTTCCATTTTTTTTTGAGTACCAAGCATTATAAATACTTGTATTTATAATGTAAATTCATATTTTCGTCCATAAGATCGATTCTCCTCATTATATTTTGCCACAACATCAAATCGGGATACTAGAACAACTTTTTCTTTCTGCGAAAATGTTTTTATGTGCAAAAATTACCGAAAAAACATGATGTAGTGCATAAAGTTAATCGTGATTTAGTTTTCTTAATCGGTGTAAAAGAAGTAACTCCTCAAATTGAGATGTCGCTAAAATCACTTTCAATTGCAATAGCACCACTACTTATCTATCCCCACATCGTCCAATTCGTCTAAATTGAACTTGGTGTTATTATTTGCTGTAAAATCTTTCCCCTACAACTATTTACATTATTTCTTTGGTAAAGAATATCACAAAAAACATCAAAACTAAAACATGTAAGAAAAACTATATGATTTGTTCTGACAAAAACTTACAACGTTTTTTCTTTTAGTTTGGAACCAAACCTTGGCAAGTATATTAGCACGATATTTCTGCAAATTTCTTCAAATCGGGAAACTAGAACAACTTTTTCTCTGCGAAACTCGTTTCATGTGCAAAATGCTTTAATGTCATGTCATAACAGGTTGAAGCTATCGTGACAATGTTATTGTTGTCCCAACAATCACAAATAATACCATATTGACAATGTGGGATGGTTCAAAATTTTCAAATGCTTTTTATTCTGCAATGGAATACCAAATGTCAGGATTTCTCATATCACTGAAAAAATTTTGTCATAAACGTGATAACAAATTAATATTGTATCATTCTAATATTATTCTTATCGATTGGCGATCGAACTAGCTTATAACTTTTTAAGTGAAACCATCGGTGAAGATCTTTTCCCCGTTATTTTGCCTTGTATAATCAATCTAAGAAGGTGGTGTCAGCTTTCCTTCTTTGGCATTCAAGAGCTCCATATCTTTACCCATACGCTCTAGCACTTCTACGTTAGTTATCCTCTTAGTCCATGCCATTTTTAAGATGTGGGAACATTTCGATCGCATTTATCTTTATTTAGCAATGGACTTAGTGTCTAGCTTTCTGATCTGTATAAGAACAGAAATGTTTTTTATTCTGCAATGGAATAGCAAATGTCAGGATTGCTCATATCACTAAATGTTGTGAGTTGCGGTATTCTGATTAAATTGTCCATAAGGTAATATGCTAACTAAAGGAGCAGTTGTATTTCCATATAGTTGCTGGTGACAGATTATGGCTCAGCAGAATGTTCGTTATATCCATTCTTATTAAGAGAGTTGAGCACATTTATAACAAATAATATAATTATCTACTGTTATCATTTTACCGTTATTCTAACCTAACTACAGTTATTTCTAATAAAGGTTACGTTATTCCCTATATATGAGTCGATATAAAGTAGATATTTGTTTCTGCCATATCTGAAACACTAAAATAGTTGGGTTACTACGTCACATCACCTGTCTTTGGTCACATTTGGTACATGTTTTAAATATTTTCTAGATTATTGATCATAATGTGCACCATAGGCAAAGCAGGAAAATTTAATAGCAACATTTTAGATTTGTCTTTACATTATTCGATGGAAGTTCAATTGACTAGCACTGTATTCAGAGTGTATGATTTTCTTATGGGCAAATAAACTAACAATGAGGATGATGTAGTGCGTAAAGTTTAATAACGTTTGTGTTAAACGGAAAACTATGTTTTCAATCTTGTTTTTCTGTCAAAACAATGCACAACTCATCAGATTGTAATGTCACTTTCAATTGCAATAGCAATGTAGTCTACACCACTACCCCCATTTCGTCTAAATTCTTCCAAATTGAGGTTGGTGTTATTATTTGGGGTAAAATCTAAACTGGTTGTTTCCTCTTTAACCATTTGCATTATTTCTTTGGTCAAAACTAAAACATGTAGGAAGAACTTTTTAGCTATCACACTGGATGTTATTTGAATTAATATTTAGGCGAGTTAAAGAACATTTTTGCGTCAATGTTACAAAACCAGCAGCAAAACATTGAAAATAAGGAAATTCCAACAAATGTAGTTCTTCATCATGAAGCGTTACGTTATTCCATATATATGAGTCGATATAAACTAGATATTCGTTTCTGCCCTATATGAAACTCTAAAATAGTTGGGTTGCTACGTCACATCACCTGTTTGGTACATATTCTAAATATGTTCTAGATTATTGATCATAATGTGCACTATAGGCAAAGCAGGAAAATTTAATAGAATTTAGATTTGCCTTTGCATTATCCGATGGAAGTTTGCAATTTGGAATTCAATTAACTTGCACTATATGCAGAGTGTATGTTCTTCTTATTGGCAAATAAACTAATAATGAGAATGATGTAGTGCATAAAGTTTAATAATGTTTGTGTTAAACGCAAAACAATGTTAATCGTGTTTTGCCATTCAGCGACCTTAATCGGTGTAAAAGCAGTAACTCCACCACTACCCCCATTTCGTCTAATTCGTCCAAGTTGAGCAAATCTTGGCTAATATGATGTTTCTCCTCATTGTATTATATTTTGCCACAACATCAAAACGGGGAACTAGAACAACTTTTTCTCTCTGCGAAAATCTTTTCATGTGCATTCATAAGAGGTGAAGCCATCGTGACAATGTTATTGTTGACCCAACAAACAAATAACACCACATGGAATACTGTATATGGATTTTGCAATGGAATAGCAAATGTCAGGATTTCTCATATCACTGAATAGTTGCGATATTTTAAATAAATTGTACGTAAGGTAATATGCTAACTAAAGGTGCTTATGACAGATTATGGCTCAGCAGAACGTTCGTGATACCACTTACAGGTAAAAATAAGTAATTAACCACATTTATGACGAATAATATAATCATCTTATCGTTACGCTAACCTAACTACATTTATTTCTAATAAAGGTTACGTTCGAGGAGAAGTTGGTAAAAATGGATCAGAACTTTTTAGCTATCACATTTATAGTGCTTACATCAATTTGTGATATAATGAGACCAAAAGGAGTGTTGCCAATGAAAATATTTAAACCATAACAACAAAGTTTAGGTTAACTTAACGTTTTAAATCGCTGTAACAGTATCCTCCATTACTTAACTAGAAGAGATATCATCGACCTCAAAGGATGTTATGGAATGCCGAAAATGTTTTAATAATGAGTGTATAAATCTTTTAAAATTATCTTATTAAAAACTCTTGATTAAAACTTAACTAAATCATTCTGTATCGCATAAATCGAACAAAAAGTTAAAAAAAAAGGTTCCTCCCAAGCAATATGATTTACAGAAACTACCTCCAATGTTTGAATGAGTTTACACGCAAAAGCTAAGGCAGCTGCAAATATTTTTTTAAAGTTGTAACTAATTAACAAAAAAATGCTAGGGCGAAGTCTATGAATTAGGCAAAAGCGTAATGAAGCTGTAGGAAAGTTATCAAAGAAAATGTGATGTTCAATAAAAAAAATAATTAAAAGCTTTGGAATTTGGCCCAAAATAATTTTTTATTGAACATGCATTATAACATCTGTAATTAGAATTAACAAAATGAGATTTAAAAAAACCTGCAGCTAATTGGGAGCTCATTTGAAAACGAAAAGTTATTTCTTTTTGATAAAAGTTTGATTGCTGGGAAATCAAACTGAAGTTTTATTTTTGGCGTTTCCTCTTTTAAACGCAACAAAACGACTGAATATTTTTGCAATAATGTTCGTAAATTTTGGTTTAAAAAATTTAAACGTTTAAATAGATACATTTTTAGTGCATTCTTGAAATTTAATAATTACTACTTAAGTTTTGTGAGAAAAAAGGAAATAAATAAAACGGCACCTACGCTACAAAAATATATAGATAAACTAAATAAACTATGAGAGGGGAGAAACGAATTGTGTAATTTACACTGTAAATTGTTGGAGAAAATAGTAAGCGCATTGTAGTTAATTAAAATATTTAAAAAGAACGGTTAACTGCATACTGTAATAATTGTTCAATTAAAATTCAAACAAATGGTCAAATTCATTAAAAATCGTTTAATTTTGTGTTAATTTGTTGAATTTGACACCGTTTGTTTGATTATTTTGTTTAAAATTAATTTGATGAACAAATCGAAAACATTGTTAATTATACTAAAATAAATAATGTACAGAGTGTCTTAAAATCGAACACATTAAAAAATAATTTATACTTACAAAATTTGTATAAGATTAAAAAAAATTTATCGCCCAATTTTTTTTTGTTGACCTAATTTGTACATTGCCAATGTTTTTATCTTTCTAATAATCTGTAATTCAGCAAAAAACGGATTAAAATTTTTCTACGAACATTGTTTTGTATTATTTCTTAATCATAGTGGTGACCCTTTAAACTTTATTTTTAATTGAACAATAATCTGCAAGAATGCACTACCTTACATTATCATTTTGTTATTAAAAAACCGATTAAAAAGAATTGTCAACAAAAATTTATTTTAATTTCTTTAAATCTAATTAAAGTGGTGTATTCTTGTAGAATCTGATAACGAGTCGGCCCCCACGCATTCGCCCGTAAAGACTCCGCATGGTGTTAAAGTGAAAACATTAGAAGAAATCCGTTTGGAGAAAATACAAGCTGAATCAGCCGCTTTTTATTCATACCCAGGTAAAAAATTGGTGTACTTAACAAAAAAAAATTAAATAATAAACTAAAATTATCTTTCAGAATTTGAAGGTACAAACGACGACCTCCGCGAACGAATTTTAAAAAGAATAACAACAAAAAAATCAGAAGAAAATCAAAACCAACAAAAACCATCAATCGAAGTATTAACCCTAACAGAAATACGTAAAAGAAAACGCTTACATTTCGATCCAACAAACGAAAGTTTAGACGATACATTGGGTAAAAAACAAAAAGTGACAATAAAAGTGAAAAAAGACGATGATTTTAACATTGTTAAAGTGAAAACTTTAGAAGAAATTCGAGCCGAACGCGCTAAAAAACTAGAAAGTGAACGTATTGATGACGGTGTGATGGTTGAAACTACAACTCCTAAGGAATGCGGTGAAGATTGTGAAGTTAGTAGTACGTCGAAAGTCGGCGTTGAATCCGAAATGAACGATATTAAACAAACCGTAAAAATTCAACCTATTAAAAGGTTAAAAAGACCGAGGATTTTTGAATCCGACGAAAAAAATGAGGAAAGCGAGACGAAAATGATTAAAATCGAAGAAGAAAAAGAAATTATTGACGAAGAAATCGATGATAAAGCAATAATTAAAGAAAAAGACTCCGAAAGTATTTTAGAAAACAATAAAGCCCTCGATACGATTTCTTCAGATTCTAGTAAATTAGATGATGTACTTTTATTGGATGAAGATGAATTTGATATTGAGGGGTCAACAAAACCGGAGGAGGATATTTTAAAAGATATTGATGATATTCTTAATGAATAGTATAATAGTGATAATGTTTAATTAGTTGTAAAATTTTAAAGTTTTTGTACGTCTCATATGAAAAAAAAAGTCCAGTGCAAGTTTAACAACTTAATTTAAATCAATTAATATAAGAGTTTAGAAATAAATTGTTGTTTTTTTAACTAATTGTACGATTTTAATTCTAAGTTATTAACTTCTATAAAAAAATGTTGCTGTATAAACGTGACAACAAATCAATATTGTATTATTTTAGTATTATTCTTATCATTATGACTTTTTAAGTGAAACCCTGATCAGGTAGAGTTCATATTATTCTTATCAGTGGAGCTTCCATGTTATCCTCAGTCCATGCTATTTTTAAGATGGGGGGAACTTTTTGAAAGCATTTATCTTTATTTAGCAATGAACTCAGTGTCTAGCTTTCTGATTCGCCCAAAAATTTATATGATGGTACCTATGGGTTAGAAATATGGACCTTAATATAGAAACACCAAGAGGTACTAAAGAAATTCGAAAGGAAAGTGATTTAGAATATATGGCGTTAATGACAACGGTATCTGGCGTCGAAAATCAATGGATTGAATCTAAAAACACATTTTGAAGTTTTTATATGCATGCCAAAACTATTTAATCTTTCGAAGAATTGATGTAAATATGAAAGATGTTCGTCCTTATTTTTACTCGCTATAAGAACGTCATCTAAATAAACGAATATAAAGTTTAAACCATTAATGACTTCATTAATAAATCGTTGGAACGTCTGTGCTGCGTTTCTGAGTCCAAAAGGCATTCTGGTAAATTCGTAAAGACCAAAAGGAGTTGTAATAGCTGTTTTATAAACATCCTCTTCTGCAATTTGATGGCCTTGTGTATTTATTTATTTATTTACCATTTATTGCCACAAATAAGAATACAAAATTACATACGATACACAAGAAGAAAAAAACAATGAAAAAAAAAATAATAAGAACAAAAATATATACATAAAATCCCATTGTCGATTGTTAGTCGAGCAATGGATAAACTTAAACTTAAACAGTATAAGCAGTATCAGCAAATGGATCGGTTTATCGCACAAGCGATCTCTGCCGAATGACCCAACAGAACAAACAAAAATAATATTTGCTGAATATGGCAAGTAGTGATAATTAGATATTAACATTTATCACCAAATAAGATTAAGCAAGAAAAAGAGAACCTGAAAGGCTAAAAGAGACCAAAAGAATCTGCTGATATCAGTTGCCAACAAGTGAGAGCAGTTGAAGAGAGGAAAAAAGAGAAAGATAAAGAACAAAGAATCAGAAACAGCCAGTTGAAGGGCAAGCAAGTGGCGCTTTAAAACATGTCTAAAATTAGCAATGTTACAAATAATACGAATTTCAGAAGGCAGTCAATTCCACAGCGCAATCGACTGTACTGTAAATGATCTGTGATAAATTTCAGTGCTACTGAACGAATAGCATGAGTTGATAATTGCTGGAACCTATCTGATAAATACTTTGGGGTGAAGTTATGAAGGATTTTAAATAAAATGGTTAATAAACGAAACGATCTACGACCCTCACATGTTAAGATCTGACTGTAATTACGATACGGCGTAACATTCTCAAATCTATTTAGGTCAAATATGAACCGGATGCAAGTATTTTGTAGCCGCTGCAATTTACTCAGAAGAGTCACTGAGAGATCGGGATAAACCGCATCCACATAGTCGAAGTGAGGAAATATAAGTGAGTAGCAAAGATTACGACGGACCACCAAGTTCCAAACACAATAGCTGGCGTTTTAACTGAGTTCAACTTAAGTCCGTATCTCCGAGACCAGTTCAAGACCTTAGATAGATCGTTATTAAGTCGCAAAATACCTTCTTATTAAATTTAATGGTACGGATTACGTCATTTTTTGACAAAATTTTACAATCATGTAGGTTAAGATAAAAATCTTGAATGTGAGACAGTGGGTAACGAGGAGTAGGTAAAAAAATGGTTGTATATCTATGTATCTGTAATATTACATATTCATATTTATTTAAATAAAGTACAAAAAACGATACAATATTACGTCAAAAAAGATATTACAATAACTTGGATTTAGAAAATGAGTCGGTTAAAATTATAAACAGTCACAATATTCTTGGACTGCCTAAAACTCCTTGTCCAGGAGCATATTCTTTGCAGAAGTTCGAAATTCTTTGCTTTCTAAGTTTTTTTGTGATTTTGACACTCTGTGAAACGGAATTACAATATTTTACTTGTAGCGGGTGTTATTATCGTGATTGTTTGGATTGGTTAGTAGCGAATCTTTTTTGTTGTGAATATACTCAAGGCAGGTATGTATAAAACAGCATGGCAAGGTGAGTATTTTTAATTTTTTGAAGTGGGTACTGCAGTTCTCATGATTTTTTAGCCCAGCTAGTATACGAATTGCCTTTTTTGTATTATTAAAATGGCTTCCATTTTTCTTGATGCACCCCACGCAATAATCCCATATATCGCTATACTGTGGAAATATGCAAAGTATACGCTACGCAGTGTCTCTGCTGGTAGGTTACAACGTATAGTCTTAACACAATATAAGGCATTCCTTTTAAGTCGGATATGTTTTGGGTCCATTTAAGCGTTTCAGTAACTCAAAAGAACTTTATGGATTTATCGGTTACCTCATCATTTTGTTTTATATAAAAGGTATATTTTTGTATTTAGTTTTAATTTGTTTATGGAAAACCAATGCGTCTGCCTTTTCAATGTTTTGTTTTTTAGGATTAAAGACAAATTAACTCTGTTGGGATACTTTCTGGCAAATCATTAATATATATGAGGTTGTTGATTGTTGACCTCGCCAAAAAACTGATTGTTTTCTTTCTTGCAAATATGTATATATTATAATATATTCTTAATCCATATTTTTGTAGTTTGCCTAATAATATTGAATTGTTTCACCTAATCGAATGCTTTGGTTAGGTCGCAGAATGCAATTTGAATGAACTTTTGTTGATCAAAACCGTGGATTATAGCTTCTATTACGCTGAGTAGTTGTTGTAGACCTTTGTTTTTGGTATCCATGTTGACAGATTGGAAGCAATTTGTTATCGTTGAGATAGTCTACTATTTTTTTATTTACTACAGTTTCAAATATTTGTGATATGGATTGTAAAATAGATATTGGTCTATAGTTATTGCAAATACCTTTGTCACCTTTCTTATATATAGGTGTCATCTTTGCCAGCTTGAAAGACTCCCTCCTCTGGACATTTGTTTATGACAAAACATAGGTGTTTGCTAATAATTGGTTCAACTTCTTTTATTAGCTTTGTGGACAGTTCGTATATATTTTTGGTATTTTTTGTTTTAAGACCCTTTGTTGTATTTCTGTCATCAACACAGCTGGTCGAAGACTGTTTCGATACAGCCCCGATTTGAGAGAAGAAAAGGTTTAAGTCTTCGACATTTAATGCTGAATCTTCTGCTGGTGTTTTCCTGGATTTTCCAGTTTCTTGTCTGACAAGTTTCCAGGCCGCCAAAATTTTGTTATCAGACTGTTATGCATAGTATGTCATAGTCGGTTGGTTTTTGCAAGTTATACTAAAGACGACTGATTTTTGTTGAAAGGCCTTGTATATTTATAAAAAATGTGCACCTTGTGCGTTCATAAAAGTAGAATGTCTCTTAAAATCAACATACATATACTTATAGCCATAATTCTACAAACAGTAGATAATTCTTCAAAGAACAGTTTATCTCAAATTTTTAACCATCATGTTTTTTTATGAATAATGTGGAATTTCCAAGGCGTCATAAACAGCAATTTAGTTCTTGGTTCAACCACATACTTTCCTGATAATCTATGTACGAATTAAGTAATCGTCCTTGACTTTGTTATAAATACAGAAACTCCTGATTAAAAAGGTCAGTTTTGTATTGAATTCGAAAATAGTAAACATGAGTAAGAAAATCTTAATAGCATTTACATTTTGTAAGTTATCTTTTTAAATAATACATTATTCATTCATTCATTTGTATCGATTATTTATTTAGGTTCCATTTTATCAATTTGTATTTCACAAAAATCTGATAATGATTGTATTCTTCCTGAACACCCTCCAAATGCACAACTTTCTTTAACTGATAAAAAAGATTACATACCAAATACTTTTGTTCCAACTTCAACAACGATAAAAATAACGTGTAATCCTGGGTATACACCAAAAAATTTTAGAATAGATGGAATTTCGTATTGTATCATAGGAAAGTGGACAGGAGATTTAATCGAAAATCCTTGCCAAAGTTAGATGATATCTCTTAAAGTAAAGAGCCATAATAATTTGTTATTATTATTTAGAATCTTGCCAATTACACGATTACGAAGAAACCATGGATTTCGATTGTTCATTAAATTCAAAAAAAATAAATTGTTCTGAATCCACGGAAGGTACAAAAATTGTTACAAAGTGTAAACCATTTTTTAATTCAGAACCACGAACCACATCAACTTGTTCGAATGATCAATGGACACCTGAATTAAAACCGTGTAGCTTAGAATGTGGATTAGTTAGTAAACCACAAATTTTAGTCGTTCAAGGCGCTTCAAAAGAATCCAATATACTTCCTTGGGTTATTTCTATTACAAAAAATAATGATCCAATATGTTTGGGAAGTCTAATTTCTCATAAACACGTACTAAGCGGTAAAAAAGATTTTATTTCAAACTAATTCTTCTTAATTAATTTTCTTTGTAATTTTTAGCTGCGCATTGTTTTGTAGATTTTAATGGAGATGTTTCAGATACGAATAATTATAAAGTTATTGCTAATGAGGACGAAAATAAGCAAATCAGAGAGGTAAAATAAAATTAAAATTAAAAAATTCGTTACATTAAATTTTTTAGGTTGAAAAAGTGTTTGTTCACGAAAAATTTCGCGGAATGTTGTTAAATTATATTAACGATATCGCCGTAATTGTTGTAAAGAGTTTTGTGATTAACTTATCGATTCAACCCGTTTGTTTTGATGACAATGAAAATAGCTTAACGAAAAATATTGAAGGAATAGCATTTGGGGTTGAAGAAAAAAACAAATTTAAACTAGAAAAACTTATTATGAAGTTTGAAGATAAAACAGCTTGCAAGGAAAAATTACCACAAGTTTTTTTCGAACACTATTATATGCCAGATAAATTTTGCGCAAGTTTCTCTGAAAAAAGTATTTCTTTTTTTGTAGTCATTAATCAGATTTTTTATGACAAATCTTTTTGTAGGAAATTGTGGATTAAGCGGAAGTGGGTTTTATACAAAATCGAATGGAAAATATTATATAAGAGGCATACTAACTTTGGCACCAGCAACTGCAAATGGATGCAATGCTACCTTACCTTCGCTTTTAACAAGCATTTCATCACACTTTAAATGGTTAAAAGAAATTATGAAAAACAAATAATCAAATTTAATTAATGAAAAGTGTTTTAAAAATAAAGATTTTATATTTTATTTCTAACTTAACTTGGTTTGCAATATTGTTGCCAAAATAACCTAATACATACTTCAAACTCTGTCCCAAAATACTAGACAAGGTAGAGTCCCGATTACGAAGAATGCAAGAAATAAAGTTTGAACAATAACACTTGAAAACACCCAAAATACTGATACAAAAACGAAATTCTACATGTTATTCAGGAGAGGTTACAAAAAAAGATCTTAATAAATATAAAGCACTAATTAAGCAAATTCGAAAAGATTGTAGATAAGCAAAAGAACGATGGCTAAAACAACGCTGCGAGAAGATTGATGAATTGCAAAGACAATTCGACATGTTCCAGCAACATAAAAAGATTAAAGAGTTTACAAAAACACAACAAAGATCCTAAAAGACTAATTTTATGATAAAAAACCAAGGGAACCTAGCAATGAAAGTATCAAAGAATCAAGTCACTAAGTTACAAAAGAAGTTGCCGGCAAGATTCCATGTACGAAACCAGAATCCTAGATGATTGGACAGATCAGTGATGCTCAGAAAAATCTTCGACTGTGTACAACACCAAAAAGTTTGCAGAGATTCACAGAGTTCTGTGGGGGTGAACTCAGAACATCAGAACAAAAAGCGATCTTAAAGGGAATTAGGCAGAAGTGTACTTGGCGGCAATATTTGATGCCGCCATAAACGATTCAGAAGTGAGAATTAGAATAAACGAAGTCAACATGAATAACCTCAGTTACGCTGACTACAGGATAGTGCTTGCCAAGAGTGTGAGCGAATTGCAGAAACTTATGAAGCAACTGCAAAGATCTCAAAGATGCCAAGAAAAGAGATTCTACATACGTTAATATGTTATAGATTTGTTCATTGTAAGCAGAAAAGTTCCTAAAAACATATTTAGCCGTCTTGAGAGATGTGCGGCTAAATCTGAATGTTTCCAGTTCTCGGTTTAGTGTTAGGTCTAGTGATAGTGATTAATATTTCTTCAATTTTTTTTGTAATACATACAATCCAAATCGTAAAGAATTTCTTATGATATTTGAGTTGCCTATCTTAAGCACTAATTTTTAACGAAAAATTTGATTTAAATTGTCTGTCCCAAATTATGGTATACATTTCTCTAAAATTTATGGATTAAGCAAAGTTTGGAGAATTAACGGGTTTCTATCTATTTAATATAATATAATGTAATCTTAATTTAATTAAGGAAAGAAGCTAGAGATTAAATCATATCGATGTTTTGAGGATATGTACGACCCAACGCAAGTTAAAAGGTCATACTACATAACTTGGACAAAGCAGAACCAGAAAGCTGCTGTAAAAGCAAACGGTTTATAACTAAAGTTATGTTTATGGTTGCAGTGGCCAGACCATGCTATGACAGTGCTAAAAAAACAGTATTTCAACGGCAAAATAGCATTCTGGCCTGTTGTTTAACTTTTAGTCAATGCCATCATAGATATCACCATTTCTTAGGTTCAAGCCAGGAATTCTCAAAATATCAAAATTGACAATCTGCGTTAAATTCTGTTATAAGTAGAAAGTTAAAGATGATAGAGAAAATCGTTTCCCATAAAAAGTGATGGTAATGAATCAAGATAACGTAATTCATAACCAATGCTATCATAGATATCACCATTTCTTAGGTTCAAGCCAGGAATTCTCAAAATATCAAAATTGACAATCATCTGCGTTAAATTCTGTTATAAGTAGAAAATTAAAGGTGATAGAGAAAAACGTTTCCCATAAAAATTAATGATAATGAATCAAGATAACATAATCCATAGTCAATGCCACCATAGATATCACCATTTCTTAGGTTCAAGCCAGGAATTCTCAAAATATCAAAATTGACAATCATCTGCGTTAAATTCTGTTATAAGTAGAAAATTAAAGGTGATAAAGGAAAACGTTTCCCATAAAAATTGATGATAATGAATCAAGATAACTTAATTCATAACCAATGCTATCATAGATATCACCATTTCTTAGGCTCAAGCCAGGAATTCTCAAAATATCAAAATTCACAATCATCTGCGTTAAATTCTGTTATAAGTAGAAAATTAAAGGTGATAGAGGAAAACGTTTCCCATAAAAATTGATGGTAATGAATCAAGATAACTCAATTCATAACCAATGCTATCATAGATATCACCATTTCTTAGGCTCAAGCCAGGAATTCTCAAAATATCAAAACTGACAATCTGCGTTAAATTCTGTTATAAGTAGAAAATTAAATTCGATAGAGAAAAACGTTTCCCATAAAAATTGATGATAATGAATCAAGATAACATAATTCATAACCAATGCTATCATAGATATCACCATTTCTTAGGCTCAAGCCAGGAATTCTCAAAATATCAAAATTGACCATCATCTATGTTAATTCTGTTATAAGCAAAAAATAAAAGGTGATAGAGAAGAACGTTTGCATAAAAATTAATGATTATGGATCAAGATATCATAATTCATAACTAATGCTACTATAGATATCACCATTTCTTAGATTTCTGATTCAAGTCAGAAATTCTCAAAATATCAAAATCGCTAAAAACTATGAATGAATAGTTTTAATAGATTGTGTTAAAAGTGCCTTCGACGCATTAACTAAAGAAAAGTTAGATAACGTATTCTCGACACTACAAAAGTGCATGGACTCAACCTCGATGGCCTCAGCAGGCAACAACTATAAAATTGAATAAATTTGAATCTGAGCATACTACAAAAAAACTTTTCGAACGAAACTTGTAGCAAATTGTATTCTTAACAAAATTGCACTCTCTTACGCTTTTGCTCTCAGACGCATAGACATCGACAAAAATATGAAAATTCATGAATAAAGAAAATTATCACCATGAAGGGCGTTTACATTGAACCGGCTGAATTGTGTTTAAATGTGTAAAATTTTCATTAATGTATGTTTAAATTAAGTTACAAACTGATTTACTAATTTTAGAAATACAATAAAGCAGTTTCCCAAGTTTTGTATACCATAATTTGAGACAAATTGTAAGGAGAAATGTATACCATAATTTGGAACAGAGGGAGTAATATATTTTATGGAAATATAAATAATTGTAATAATTATTTCATGTTTTACAGGTAAAAGGACAAAAAAAAACGATTAATACTTTTTTGTGATATTATTTTTATTTACACACATAAAAATGATTGTATTTTTTTCCTCAGTGATCGAAACGAAAATCTTTGAATAAATTACTATAAACCTATTTACTGTTCACATTAAGAAAAATATTTTACACTCAATCAACTCGAGTTAAAATTGCGGTCGATTTTTTTAAACTTCTTTTGGATTGTTAATTTATTTTTAATTTTTGGAAAAATCACAAATACACATCATTGTTAATCGCCATCTAAAGTACGGGATAATGGGGATACTTTACAAATTTTTTTTTTTTAGTTTAAATCTGCTTTTAAAATTTTTGATATGAAACATCGCGTCTCCCCAATAAAAAATCAATTTTTTAATATAGTGGAAAATCTCGCATTTTATTTTTTCTGTTTCGAATTCAATCCAAAAATCCTCTTCGGTTTTATTTCCGCTAAAACAAGTTAGAATGGGACACGCGATTTACATTGTTTTGGTTTTTTGAATCATATTTTTTCGACGCTTATGTACAGTAGACAAAAAAAGGTGTACAATAAACAGCTACTGAACCTTTTTAATCTCGTTTTATTTATTTTTTTTTTAAATCGTAGTTATTAATTATTTTTAATTTATATTTTGAGATCATCACACTTTGTTTCTTCTTATCATTTTTTTCTTAAATCTTGATTTAAAAGATTTGGTTGCAACTTTTTAGAATTATTTACAGTTTTTTTTTAAATCAGGTAAAAGGTTTTTTTGCACAAGACTCATTTTTAAAATTTTTTTTTTAATCTCCTCCGATTTAAGCCCACCAAGGTCACTGTATTCGCGGCCAATATTGAGCCGTCATATCTGGTTGCCCTGGAACTGCTATTGGAACCGACACTCCTGGGGATATTAATCCTAGAAGGAATAATTTATAACAAAATTACATTTTTTGGTTCTCAATTTTACCCGTAGACGATGATCCATTTGTATTATACTGATGTCCGTTCATTTGGTAAGGCTGCGTTGGACTACACGGCGATGGTCTTGATCCATATCCAATTCCTAAATCGTAACTTGGAGTTCTCCCCATACAATAACTGGTCATTGCACCGCCCATCGTTGGGCTATCCCTTTGTTGCAAACAAGCTCCAGGTGAAGGACCCATTCCGCTACTTAAACCGCTGTGGTGGCTAAATGATGACATTGAAGACATCGTTGGACTACAAGGATAACTTAAAGAAATTCAATTAATACAAATTCAATTAGCTAAAATTTTGTGGTACCTGTACGAATCCGATATAGACATAGGTGGTGGTATCGTCGAATACATACTCGAAGTGTTATTAAACGATTGAAGACGTGGAGGTGACGAAGATGGTGCGCTTTGATCTGTTGGAGTTGGCCCTCCACGTCGTTGATTTCTTAATTTCTCTTCTCTTCGCCATTTCGCCCTTCTATTTGAAAACCAAACTTGAATCCGAGCTTCAGGAAGCCCGATTTTTGCTGCGAGTCGTTCTCGAGCGAACACATCGGGATAATGAGTTCTTTCAAACTCCTTTTCTAAACTATCTATTTGATCGTTTGTAAATGAAGTTCTATTTCTTTGCAATTTTCTTTTTAATCTCAACCTAGCCTGATCATCATCTGGTCCTATACTAGATCCAGCATTAGAATTATCCCCCGAATTGGTTTCATCGGAATTTACTCCATCGAGATCTGTAACTGAACAAAATATTTCGGTGTTAACTTATTTCTGATGTAACGAAGAGAGAAAGGAGGTATGGAGGTTGGGATGAGTAAAAGGGGGTTTGTTGGAGGTTTGGCGTCGGTTCGCCCCGGCGCCGCGACGTGGGGCACCAGATAAGACGTCCCGATCTGCGTTGGAACGGAGTCAGCCAGCCAGAAATTGACGATAAGGTCGACACGCCGCGGCGGGAGAACCCCCCGGTTCCGGGAAGAGAAGAGGGATGAAACAGGATAGGTCCGTTTCTACCCCCCTTGGTAGAACGTGGCCATACATATAGATAGAACTATGTGTGGAACGTACAGTTTTGCCCAAAAACCTTCACAAAATATGATTATATAAATATGATTCTTTTTACCTTAATAGATTCTGTCAAAATTGATTAAAGCTTAAACCTCCATCATTAAACTTGTAATAGTTGTCGCCCAAAAGTTGCAACCCTAAATGTAACCCTTACAATAGATTTAAAAAAAAGGTTACGTAAAAAATGGAAGAACTAAAAGGGAACACGTTCCGGTCTCGTCGTCACAAAGCCGCCCCAAAATTAACCGTATGATAACGGTGTGAATTAAAAAAAAAATGGGGCGGATCTACCGTAGGCCCCCACGGGTTTTGAAAACCCATCGCATAATTTGCTATAAAGATCGGCTAAGTACACCTCACATTGGTTGAAAATCAGGAGGGTGCCCACCCCACATATCCTCTTCCATTTACACCCTGAGTTTTATTCGGGGCCGTGTGTTAACCGTGTGTAACGTTCGGCGACGTGGCGTTTATTATTATTATTTCTGTACGGATATTTTTCGATTGTCGGTGACAAGTCGACTTGAATAAATTTACTAATAGAGCGGACTCCCTCTACCGGGGTAAAAGAAGGGGGTTGGGTTTGACGACCGACGGCGGGTGCAAATGGCACCCGGAATCCGTTCAAATCGAGACAATGTAATGGAAACCGACGTTCAAAAAGTCGAGTGCCTTTTGTGTACTACGTTCGATTCGCGATTGTGTAAGTTTGTTAAAAGTCCACTTGATATCGACACCGCAACTCTTTTAATAGCTTTTTTTTTTAAGTTTGAATGACCACTTCAATTTCGTTTTGAGTAGACTTTTGAGAGTTGAACTCTCCATCAATTTTTGATTGATTTTTGTAAATGTTTCATTCTCAAAATATTTAATGCCACAATAAATTTTGAATATACAGATCCTATCTTTATGCACTTGTTGATTCTTAAGATGTTGCAAAAATTTCCAAACTTAATTATTTAAAATTTACGAATTTACGAAATTTACGTATTTAATCCAAAGTATCTTAATCGGTAGATCTTGACAAAATTCCATTAAATGAAAATATAATTTCTTCTATTTGATAATGTTACAACTCTTTATGCAGTAACTAATTATGAACGAACCAAAACTAAAAAATTAGATCACATTATGATAGAACAAATTATTGAATTTTTTGACAAATTCAATTCTTATACAATGCTAGAACCCAAAGTGTGAAAGATTTGGCTTTGATGACGGAGTCATAAACATTCCTTATTTAAACTTTGAAATAAATCCAAGATACCTCAGAACCAAGGAGTGCCACGTCCTATACCTTTGAATGATTATTTTTATTTTGATGATCTTAAACTCCTAAACTTTGTTTTATTACCTAACTTAATGGCACCGACTGCCATAAATAAAACATAAGCTGGGGTTTTGAACTACCGAAATTTTTATGTAATTAACAAGGATTAAATGTAACATTGCAATAATTAAGAATAATATTTAACAAAGTATTTACTTACTATTAATTTAATTTCTGTCAAAATGTAACGCAATCTTAATCTCTTTATTGATTGTATCTCGAATCCATGTTGCAAGTTTTTATTATTATAAAAATATTAAAAAAAAACTTCTTACTTCAAGTAAACACTTCTACTTTAATCCATGGTTTTAAGAAAATCTATGTTAGGTTGAAGATTATCAAAAATCACATCAATTTTATAAATGTTACTTATTACCAGAAAAACCATCAACAACACCAATATATTATATTTCTGTCAAAATGTAACGCAACCTTAATCTTTTTAGTTACTGTGCTGCCTATATTAGATAAAAATGCTTTAGAAAGCTACAACATAGATAAGGTGCAGTTTAAACTTTTTTTTCGTTCTCAGAACTTGATGAGTAAAAAGGATATAAAAATAAAATAAGTCAATTTCCGGATGAATCCGTGTGAATTCCGGTATAACCCGGAAGTTTCTATTTTAAGTTTTATTTCTAACTCTACTAATGTTTCATTAAAGTGATTAACTTTGTTATTAACAAACATTGATTGAAATCCATATTAAAATCTTCAATATTAATACAAGTCAAAATAAAAAATAGTTTTAGAAAGCATGTTTGTTTTTCAATCAGTTTGTTATTATCAGGTCAATAATAATTTGCTTTACAAGCGTAACTTTATATTAGCGTATCTTAACTTTGATCCCATTATACACACCAATTATGACAAGGTCTAACATAAAGTGCAACAGCTCCTCTAGTTGGCGTATTTATTATTAAGATGACCAGCGGTGATATAGCTACGTAGTTTTGAGATTCCTTTATACATATACCGGGTGTCCCTCAAAAGTGGCTCACCCCCATATTTTTCTTTATTATTGGTGATATAAGAAAACCATTTGGAATGCATAGTTAGGTCGCTAAAACGGATTATTACGACATGAAATCATTCTTTTTGTACTTCCGGTTATACCGGATGTGAGTACTAATTTCGCTATTTTTTTAAATCTATAATTTTTTTTTCTTCGGTAANAGTTTAGGTATAATGATTTTCTAGTGATAAAGAAAAAATCACCAAAATGTCAAAATTGAGTACTTTTGGTATTAAAATAGATCATAACTCAAAAATTAAAGGTGATGGAGAAAAGTTTATTTGAAATAAATTGTTTATTATGAACTAAAAGGACATTACTCATAAACAGATTTGGTTTAGTTATAATGATTTTCTAATAATAAAAAGAGAAAATCATCGAAATATCAAAATTGACTACTTTTGGTATTAAAATTGATCATAACTCAAAAATTAAAGGTGATGGAGAAAAGTTTTTTAGGAATAAGTTGTTTATTGTCAACTAAGAAGACATCATCCATAAACAAATTTAGATTAGATGTAATGATTTTCAGGTGATAAAGAGAAAATCCCCAAAATGTCAAAATTGGGTACTTTTGGTGTTAAAATCGATCATAACTCAAGAATGAAAGGTGATGGAGAAAAGATGGAGAAAACCTTGTCGTCAAATAACTTTATACCCTATTTGTCAACTTTGACGTACAACTACATAGCCGACTACTAAATTTTCTCTTATTTTAAGCAACACTACGAAATACGTATCGTTAGTTATTTAAGTTTTTTATGAAAACGACAAAGTTTTTTAAAAAATAATACGAGTAAGAAAAGTTTTAGAATTAAATTCCACATGAAATGAAGTAGTAATGTATGAAATCCGCCAAAAGGTTAAAAAAATTAGTCAAAATTTAGGGTATCATCACCCTTAATCAACCCTATGAAATGCCTCAATTGGGTTCAATTTGCTACTAATTAATACCCTTGGTACACTCATAACGTATACCAAATTTGGTTTTTCTAGCTTAATGTATTACGAAGATATTGAACTTTTTAAAAATTTAAGAGTCAACTTTGAAGGCCTATAACTCCTGAGGTGTACAACTTTGTATAGAGGTAAGTTACGTTAAATCATCTTAATTTATTGTCCTCTACGTGTCCCCATCTTTACCCCACATTCTGCGAGAAGAAAAACGTCGACAAATTAAAATTCTTAATTTTCATTATGAAAAATTGGCAAAAATACATAGATTTCTTAGAGAACACCTAAACCATCTCGAAGATCTATTAATTCAACAATCTAAAACACAAACATATTTAGAGAAAAAAGAAGATCACAATAAGAAAATGAAAAAGATACATATAAAAATATAAAAAAAACTTCTTACTTCAAGTAAACACTTCTACTTCAATCCATGGTTTAAAGAAAATCTATGTTAGGTTGGAGATTATCATCAATAATAAAAGAGAAAGAAATAAAAAGAGAAGAGATAAGAAAAACGTCGACGATTTAAAAATTCTTAATTTTCAATATGAAAAATTGGCAAAAATACACAGATTTCTTAGAGAACACCTACACCATTTCGAATTAGATCTATTAATTCAACAATCTAAAACACAAGCATATTTGGAGAAAAAAGAAGATTACAAAAAGAAAATCAAAAAGATTAACAACTTGAGAAGAAACAAAATAAGAAAAGAAGAAGAAAAGAAAAACAGAAATTCTCCATCTGAAACCTATGGTCCATCACAGTTTGAGAAATTCACAACAATTTCATTTACAAAAGAAGAAGAAAAACTTGTAAACAAAGGTTATAAGTTTGCATTGAAAAAAAGAATTAATCTTCCTTTAATTTGAATCCATAGAATTTGATTTATAATCAAAAATTCGCCTGAATATGATGACATTAGTGGTCAAAAATTTGCAACATTCCTTATTTAAACTTTGTAAGAAGTCCAAGATACCTCCTGAATGGTTATTTGTATTTTGATAATTTGTGGTAACACAGAAATCTTAAACTCCTAAACTTTGTTTTATTACCTATCTTAATAACACCATCTGCCATAAATAAAACATAAGCTGGGATTTTGAACTACCGAAATTTTCGACATAATTAACAAAGTATTTACTTATTACCAGAAAAATCTTATTATCAACAACAACACCAATATATTATATTTCTGTCAAAATGTAACGCAACCTTAATCTCTTTAGTTAATCTGCTGCCTATATTAGATAAAAATGTTTTAGAAAGCTACAATATAAATAAGGTGCACTTTAAACTTTTTTTTCGTTCTCAGAACTTGATGAGTAAAAAGGATATAAAAATAAAATAAGTCAATTTCCGGATGAATCCGCGT